ATATATATATATATATATATATATATTGCATGTCTTCTTGGATGATCCAGTAACCAATCAGATACCATAAGAATTAGTCCAAGCTTGAAGCTGGGTCCAACAAATATTACTGTGCAAGTCTTCAGTTTTTTTTCTTCTTTTTTATTGTTTGTTGACGCATTTTATGATCGGTGAGTTGCTTCTTTGCTTCTGACATTGACTATGTTCGTACATTACTTTTCCTTGGAAGTTTGCTTTAGTGTGTATGCATGCATCTTCAAGAAAAGCTATATACACCGTTCGACTAACCAAATTTCCTTTGTTTGACTTGAGATCCGCCTAATGACAAGTTCCAATGCAGTGATTATTTGATGATACTGGAAAATCAGGGTTGCAATCCTTTTTTCGCATTCGGAACCCTAACAAAAGTCTGTAAATTCTTTGGCTTGTTATTATTATCTGTTTGCCCTTTTTTGTTTTGGAACATTAATTTTCAATTATTCATTTGTCTTCATATTGTTCGATGATGATGATGATTCATAACATTTGTTTACCTCTATGGTGCTAAATTTAGTTACTATTTCAAGAAAAGATATGGATAAATTGTGTAGGTTTCATGTAGTTAGTATTATAGCTGCCAGATGGAAAGAACATGTTAATGACATGTTTAGCTTCGTACATTGTTTTATTATTATTTTAAGTAATATTAGATGACACAAGTCAGCATATTAGTCTGGTATACTGGTACTCTACTGGTCGAGTGAGAAGTTGAAACAGGTATCTGTGTGAGGTTTTAAACCATGTTTCATATATGTAGGCGTATGAGTTACCAGAATCAGCTTTTGCCGATCCATGCTTAGTTTTGATACTACCATAAATAATGACTAGTCGTCAAAGGGATTCAAATCCAAAATGAGAAGCATAATATTTTTACTCAAAAGGTGACTAGATGGTTTTGTGGTAGGATTTGACATGAAATGTGATTTACTATATCAGAGTGGATGGATGGTTTCATCTTGTTAAACTGATAAAAGGTGTCGAGAGTTTCCAATTTTTAGTTATTTTCATGAATGATGACAACATGACGCATATAACTATGTCCTGAAGACCTGAAAACTTCATACTATTTGAGTCCTAAGAAATTTGTTCCTTGAGCATGTCATAGTAGGAAAGTACATAATTTCTTGGGAACACAACTTAAGCTGAACACATACAGGGGGGCGGCTATATACCATTTTTATTAGTTGAGTTTAGTGGGAAACATTAATATAAATCATTTAGAAAGGTGCTTATATATATTTGCCAAAAGGTATCCTTTTAGGCTTACCTATGTTATGTCTAGGTTAAACCAATCCCTGAACCTGACCCAGCCTAAGGCCTCCGATTTCAAACTAGACCTGGGCTTTAGACTACTGCGTTCTGCTTACCGACTTTTTGTTGATTCAGAATCATTGCGACTGAGGGGTGATTGAGGAAGGGGAAAAGTGGAAAGGGGAAGTTTGGATGCAAACGTGTGAGGCGGAGGTCCAGGGATTGGTATTCAGCGGAAAAAAAATGGGCTATATGGACATTGAAGGGGATTGGAAGAAGGAGGATTCAGTCTCGGAGGAAGAGGAAAGAGGAGGGACGACTACATGGCGGCCCACAGGGACAATTGCTGGTACAAGGAGAGGTTGCAGTTGGCCAGAGAAAGTGATCAACACGGGCAAAGTAGTGGTGCTTCCATGCGGGGGGCAAATATCGCATGGTCTTTCTATGTTGGCAAAGCGGAACACGTTGGGGGTATTTGTCCCAAAACCATCTTGCTTTGAAAAAAGAGTTAGATAAATAAAATAGAATAGAAACAATTGTTCCCTTATTATGAACAAAAAAAATTAAAAAAAAAATTAGAAAAAAAAAAGAATGTGCACTCACAGGCAATTTTCTATCGTCCATGTTTCGATGGCAATCTTTGAATCCGTTGGCGAACTGCTGCTGCTACTAGGTATGTTGGTGGCATTCTCTGGGGCTTTCGAGCATGTGCCTCCCGGCTTGGCTGCTGGACGCGCCCAATGCTTCCGAAGATTCCCTCCTCTCTCTGTCTTCAGTTTCTTTGAGAAGAAAGTCAACCCACAGGTCTGCAAAAGACTGCCCAGACGAAAAAATAAATCAACGTTATGGATGCTCGCTCGTTTGTGCCAAACAACACTTAGTTACTGTGCGTAAACAAACACCAGGTGTGGTTTCTCTAAACATTTTTGTGCCCTAGCTAGCTTGTTCTTTAAACATTTTATTTTTAAAAAACTTTCATCCACTGATAACCATTAAAAGTAAATTATTTGCCTAAGATTTGATGTAACAATTAAATGGAAACGTGAACATAATAGCCAAAAGTAAATCAAAAGTGTCAAAGGTTTTAAAAGAGAAATTTTACCTGATTATCTGAAGATGATGATGTTTCAGGTGAATTTCCTCCCAAAAAGCCTCCAACCAGACGCCCTGTCCGACCTAACATGCCCCTAACGATGCCTTTGCCAGCAGCATGTTGTGCAAAGCCTATCCTTTGCTTGTCTTCCTCGGTAAAACCCAGCATGCGAACTATAAGGTCCAAAACCTGGCTCGTGTTCGGAAGTTGCAAACAGGTTTGTCATCTACAAATAATTTAAAAAGATTCTGAGTCTGGAACATGTTACCTCTTTGCTGTGGTTCCGCTGGAAGTAAGTCACTAACAATTTGATCACTATTCGCCTGTCAGCAACACAAACATCACAATCAGTCATATAAGTATTTGAAATATTCAATTTGCCAAAGTAAAGTTCAGCCATAGAGAAACTTTGTTCAAACAAATTTGGGTGGTGGAGCTCAAGATTAACGAACAACTATTTGGATTATGCTCAGCTGATATTTTCCCATCATCAAACTCTTTCGAGGCCAATATAAATAGACAAATCAGAGGCCATAAAATATGTTCTTATTGATTTTTACTGTAAATTATTCTACGTCTTCTAGGACCTCTGTCTGATCTGAATATACTATCTTATTCCTCTCCAATGCATTTAAGTCACTCTTTCTTATTCCAATTTTCCTGAAAAATAGTTAATAAAAGAAGACTCTGATCCACAACCTAAACATTTAGCCATGCAATCTGATATTCAAGTAACAGGGTCAACAAGCAAATACGCAATGTGTAAAAAAATAAAATGAAAAAAACCCAGCAAGTGAAATAACCTGTCAACGCAGTTATCTGAATCCAGAGACATTCTATTTACTGTTGTCATGCTCTGCTCAAGGGCACGGCGTAACTTTGCATTATCCTCCTCAAGTTTACGTATGAAGTGCGTTCCTTCTGATACAGTCCTCTCAGTCTGTGTGAGTTTAGCAATCATCTCATCTTTTTCTCTACTTGATATTTCCAGCTCATTGTTTGCAGCCTAGAAGACAGTAACATTTTCAATTCACAACTCAGAAACATTCGTAAAGATAAATAACAACAGCAGCATAAAATCTGTATTTAATGAAAAACTATAGTCTATGACAGTTCTGCATAAACCATCCAGAATTTTGAAGTCACTCCTGGTAGTGGATAACTATATACTTGGTGACTTTTGATTATCTGAATGCTGGGACAGAGAATATAATGAGAAATTTAACTCCTGATATTTGGTTGAGGGGAATCAGGATTTTACTCTCAATCTTAGCAGAATCCAACTCCATATTTCAGAATATTTAAAATTCAGCTTAGTGGCATTCCAGCTGGGAATTAATTCTTGAGCCAGACTGAATAAGCTGCTCCTTTTTAAAATACTTTAGCTAATTTACTCCTTTATACAACAACCAAATCCTACATCAGATCTAATGAACAGTCAAAAACGGTCTGAATGCTAGAAACTGAATCTTTTCAACCTACTTATACAAATTTTGAACTTTCTTATATCATTCATGCCTTGTTGCCCCAAGCCCCTTATAGGACCTATATATGTACTGCCTATATATGTAGTGCAAAGATCATTCATGTTATTATATGTACTGCCTGTATGAATAATAACATGCCAATGAGTGCAAAGATCAATAGTATCAACTGACATTAGATAGAAAGAAACAAAAAGTTATAATTTCATTGTACCTTTAATGAGTCAGAAAATTTAGCAGCTTCTTCTCTTACCATAGCCAAATCTTTTGCCAATCGTTCCTATTGTCCATAACCCCAAATCAAAAAAAGAGATTATATTATGAAACACATATCATTGAAGTAATGAACAGGGATAAAGGAGAACTTGCCTTGGCTTCACTTTCAGCAAAGTACTGGCCAAGGGCAGTCTCAAGGTTTAGCAATTCAACATTTTTTGAGTCAACTATGCTCCTACAATTTGCAAGTTTTTGCATCAGATCGATAATTGCTTCATTTGACTTGTGAAGTTCATCATTTTTAAGTTTCATAAACTCTTCTTTCTTCTCTATTTCATGCTTTAGAGCCTTCTCCAACTGCGATATGTGAGTTATTTGGTGTTGACAGTTTGCCTGAAGTTCCTCAATCATTTTACTATCCTCATCCATCTTGTCTGAATCTTCAAGTTCCTAATATATCGAGAAAATTCTTCAATTCAATGACCTTGATTCATAGATATAGCACGATGCAACATTTTACTGAATCTAGTAAAAGATGCTCCAATGGACGAAACAGGTATCAAGAATTATACAATGCACAAAAGTTGGCTTTAATTACATGTAACAAAAAGAATCATCTAAAAGAAATCTTAGCAATTTCCTAGAAGGCCTGTCTTGTTCCTTTACAATTCATTCAGCACATGCCCCAAATTAAATCATCATATATAACTCTATTCCTTGCAAAGAAAGAAAAAACTCTTTAGTAGATAAAAATCATTGTAAGATACAGAAGTTTAAGCTACAATTTAAAAGCATGATTCTTGTCATCCTCAATGGTACGTAAAATTTTAAAAGCATGATTATTGTCATCTTCAATGATAGGGATTATTTAAAAGGATAAACCGGAAACCAAGGTCTGCAATACCGAATTGTACCGCATGGTACGGGCGGTACATACCGGTTCGATAGGCTACCGATACGCGGACTGCCCGTTACCGGGCGATACATTCAAAAAAACCCTGTATCGGACGATACGAGGTAATATTAGGCAGTAACGATCGAAATTTCGACCGCTACGGCCCGGCACAACTCGATAACGGTTGGTTTCGACCATTGGAGCCCTTTCACATTCTATTTAAGTCATTCTTCTCCCCTATTTCATTATACTCTCTTAAACTCTCTCTCAGACCTTTTTTTTCACTCCTAAACTCTACAAAACAACGATTTGTGAATTCAATCGAGGTTAATTTAGGAAGATTAAGAGGAAGAACTTTCTAATCAAGAGGTATGTATTCGCTTTCTTTAATTAGAGAGTAATTAAGATCTTTAAGATTATGATTAGTGTGTTTCATACATATTAAATATTGAAAAATATTTATGATAGTAAAATAAGTTTTATTAAGTTTTATTAAAATTATTTTAATGATGATTTAATCAAAATTTATTTGATTTTATGTCAATCCAATATCTTTAATAACTATTAGGGTATTTGCCATATTTATAGTGTTGAGAAAGAAGTAATTAGTAAAAAATTAACTATGTTAATCGTGTAATTAATGTATCTAATGATTTAATACTTTTTTTTATGCATATAACATATTTATGATGATAAAATATGATTAGTTATATTTTAATAAAATTATTTAATGTTGTAATTAGTGATTTATGATCGATATTTGATCAATTTAATATGTTTATACTTTATAGTTTATTTGATTTAAATTTGGTAGGATCATGACACTAAAAGAACAGCCACATGATAATGCATGGGTTCATGCCCGAAAGATAGATGAAAACCGTCATCATTAGCAATGTATTTATTATGACTACATTGGCAAGGGTGGAGGAATAACTCGGGTGAAAATGCATTTGGCTGGTGGGTATCCTGATGTTGCAAAATGCAAGAATGTTCCGACGGAGATCCGTAAATTATTTCAAAGCAAGCTTCAACAAGCAAAGGAAGATACATTAAAAAAGAAGGCAAGAGTTGAGGAAGAATATTATAGGACTATACGGGAACCAGTTTATGATCAGTATAGCGGTTACGGTGATCAAGTCGACCCGGATCTCACAGCTGGGATTCGTGCATTATTGGAGCATCAGTATACGGTCGATAAAGCAATAAGGCATCGACGACCTGACTCACAATTAGAGCATGACAGTGGTAGTGGAATCCAGAAGTCAACTAGCATGAGACAACCAACTACTCCTCAGTTAGGCCGAACTAGTAGCATGAGGTATGGTGGACTTTGTGATTTTATGAGAGGTCTTGGCAGGAGGTCCGCACTAGATATTGTTGATATTGATCCGCAAGCCTATCCCCCACAAACAGTGAAACAAACATGGATTGACGATGCATACACAGAAGAAAAAAAAAGGGATATTGGGAAGGCAATCTCAAAATGGTTCAACTTCCATAGGATTCCAACCAACACAGCCCAAGGTCCATATTATCAGAGCATGATCTTTTCTATTCAAAAGTCTGGCACAAGGATCCAACCTCCAACATCGAAGGAGATTTACGACGTGTACTTAGATGAAGAGGTGCCAGAACTAAATGGGACAGAGCATACATGATATAGACACAGAAAGAGGCTCATCGTATTATGGAGAATCATACGGGCAACAACAGTATGGTGATAGTTGGTTATCCTTCTCTAAGCAACAGTATGATACAGAACAACAGATCAGTAGCGAAATTAGAAGCTCTGACATTCACCAATATATGCCTTAAGAGTTGCCTCGGACAAATATGATTCATAATGATCAGTCTACGATCAGCACCACATTGATACATCAATGACATACGGTGCATCAATACACTATATCATGAGATCAATTTCATGATTGGGTCCAACAAACATATCATATTGATATGCAGATGTATCGGATCGAGAACCCCGATCCATCACCCGTGGAGGCCCGTCGTTCGTTTTGGTGGTAGAATCAACAATCAGGTATATCTACATATGTGATTATTTAATTCATTTGAATTTTAGAGTTTATATTGTAACAAAATAGTCTAACAATTCAAATAATTTTTTTATAGATATTTCAATCTATAACAGGCTGAAATACGAACCTCGAACAAAACTATCTCAAAGCCCGAAAAAGATATGTGATACTATTCTTACCTAATTTATATTGATTTTGCTAAACTTATACTATTACTATATTTATTTGTAACTTGAAAACCTTATCCTAACCTCTTTTTTTTTATTTTCAGGTATTTTCGGAGGGTTTAACGGACTGAAATCAGGTGTACTGCTCAGTACACCGTACCGTACCGTACCAAGCCTAGGTCGAAACACCAGTACGGTACCGTATTACGAACCTTGCCGAAAATTAATACAGAGTTAAAAAATAATAATCAAAATATTCAACAAGCACAAACGAAAACCTCTTGCCAATCTTTTAATGACAATAATCTTCATATACATTCACGCAAATACACATGTTTCAAAAGTACTCTGAGGACTAAAAATTAGTCATTGATATGATTTATTGATGAAATGATCTTCTGTTAGGATTTCTAAATTTTAGGAGTCCTTAATTTTAGGGAATTGATATTAATCTTTATTTTCCTATTTAGTTTTTCCTGGTAGGAGTTTTAAGTTTTTCCTAATTATGTTAGGAGTCCTCTGATGTAGCAAATTAGGAATTACTATTTTTATTTTTGTTAGAAATCCTAGTCCTAGTTGACTAAGAATTAAATAATTTTCAAGTAATCAAATACAACTCAAAGCCTTTGGCCCACTTGGAGATTGATCACCTCAAAGCGATCAAATCCCTATCTATTTTCTTAGATAAAGTCCTAGGGTTTTATCATCCTCAGGGAAGAAAAGGAAGGAAAACATTACCTTCTCTAGTATGTGTTGCTTAAGTCGGGCCAATTCCTGTAATGCCTTGTCTCGTTCTGTGCAGGTCTCTTCTAGTGCTTCCTCCAACTTTCTTTTTGAAAGTGTCATATTCTCTGTATCCTTCAAAGTTTTGATTAGTAAAATGCTCGTTAGTCACAAAATAGTCTTCCTATATCATTGTCCACTCAGCATGATAAAAACAGCATATGTACTAAAAGCAGACTATATCGGTAAAAGATGAGAGAAGTAACAACTCAAATCACCAGTCTCAGAGCAGATACGTTGGAGGATATTCACAAAAAAAAAGAAGAGAAAAACAATGAATTAAATATTCAGATCTTCTTGGAATATCACACAGACAAAGAAGATCTGGACTATAAAATTTGATGATTCTCTTCTGTGATAACATGATCGAATGAAATAACTATTGAACATAGTTTACAGAAAAACAAAGCACAGAAACATTGTTAACAGTATAGGTCAATAATAGAAGCAGGACCTGTAGATTATCATGCAAGAACAAATTCACTGTGGTAAGGATTAGAATCATATCGGTGAAGAACTAAATTTGATCAAATTTTCAGACAAGGGCAATATGGGTTTAACATTAACTGAATGATTTAAGAGAAGCAGGAAGGCAAAATGAACAAAGCGGTAAAAAGAAAAAATGAACATTGCAAGAAAATGCAATCAAGCACAATCAGTGTTCTCATAGTTGTAAATCGATATTATTCACTCAAGTACATTAGGAGTTCTGTTGATTTTGAACACAGCCATTACCAGATTGCAGAAACAGGATACAATGCCTGTACAATACTAAGACCTACTCCAGAATTTTAGTTGTTTCATGTTTCACTAAAGCATAAAAGCCACTGAAATATAAAGAACTACCTCATTGGAGCCAATACCTCAGAGTCAACTGTATTCTCAACTGAACTCTTCATGCAAAGTTTCATATTCTTCTCAAGTTCATCCTTCTCTATCTACACAATATAAACTTTGGATAAAATTCGAAGTTACTGGAAAATTAGAACAAAGAACTCAAAACAATAAATTACAATAGTTCACATGTATAGAGATAATATAAGAAAAAAAACATAACTGAAGGAGTTATTTTTCTGTCTGCAAGTATTTACCTTTAGCTTTGCATTTTCCTTCTCTAAAGTCATAATCATGCTTTTTGCATTCTCCATAGGAATATTATGTTCTTGTTCCATGTCTCTTTTCCTCAGTTCTGCTTCTAGTTGTCCTAATTCTGTTATCTTCTTATTTAAGTCCTTTTGCAACTCTTTCAACTCAATGGAGCTCTGCATGTAGAACAAAAACAATTATCTGACAGAAAACAATATGGAAGAATATGTTTAAAGAAGATAGATTATAGTATCACTATCAACTTACAATCCAATATCAACATATGCACTCAGTGCATTTGCTATCGACCCACATACAGCAGTAACTAAACTACAGTTTGAAGTGTATGCACCAACAGCTCAATACAAATTGTGTGCATCAAGTAATACAAAGGCTTCTTAAGACCAAAGGATCCTAAACTAACTGAGATAGTGTTTTCTGTGTGAACTTGAAGTAAAAATAACATGGGTGTTGCGAGGGAGGTGAGCCAACATGCATGCATGGGGATGGAGAGAGAGAGAGAGAGAGAGAGAGAGAGAGAGAGAAGAGAGATTTTAACCATAAATAAAAAAAAACAATGAAAAGGAGGCTAACTGGACCAGACTGCCTGATCTGTGTGTGATTTTGTCAATACCAGTAAATACCGCTTGGTAAGTACCGGTCAATGTGATATATAGAACCATGGACCTAAATACCACAAGATACAGAAAGCTCATAGAGTTTATCAGCATGAAGTTGAAACCTCTAAAGGTAAATGTTTAGTTAAGCTTTTATACCAATTATGAAAAGCATAATGAATAAATTAATTGTGTAGCCTATTTGTATACGGAGATAAATTAATGGACTTGGTAAAATTATATGATAACTTATAATAGACTGGTTTTAGTGAAAATCCTGAAAATTTCTAACAGAACATGTATCAAACTGAGGATTTAAGTGAAACTCGCCCTTTTTTTATCCATCTTCAGATCATTAAGTTCGCTCTGATAAGACTCATTCAGCTGGCATTCCTCTGTAAAAAGTTCAATATTAAAAAAAACAAGAAAACCGAATAATGCAATGACACAAAGACCCAATATAAGAAATATTACAATACCTTGCAGTTTCTGTTTTAAAAGTAATGCACTTTCGTGCTCTTGGTCGAGTTGCTCCCTTAGTTGTTTAATTTCGGCCTCGAGGCTAACCTTTACTGCTGCCAGAGATATGTTGGTCTCTTGAAACAAACCTGGATGCTCCTACATAGCAATCATCAAAAGTCATGCATGCTTAAACAATAACTGAAAAAAACAATGAAATTGATCATACAATGACCAAAACAATGAATAGCGGATAAACCAGAGAGTTGAATAGTCACGAACCAATGAATAGACAGTATCCATGCAGAATTTTCTTCAATTAATTTACTTGAAGATAAATAAATGTGTTCTGAAATGTAGTGTCAAGAAGTTCCTAGCATTTATGATATGAAGGACAAAACAACAATTACAACCTGTCCATTGCCCTGTGAATTTGCATATGTCAGCTCCATATTTCGTTTCACAGCATCATGCTCTTGCGTTTGTATGGCCCCATTGCTGATACCATCCTGCTTGGGAACATTAACCTTAGATGAATGGTTTCCCATAGGATGTGGATTCTGTTGGGAACTATGTATTTGCCATCTATTGGGGGACACTTCAGCATTTCCCTGCAAAAAATTTAAGCTGTATGATTGAGAACTGCCTAAAACCTTTTCATGCGGCCCCAATACCTAAAACCTTCACCAACACATGCAGCAAATGTACTTCAAATACTAATGATATAAATTAACAATCCTACCTTCAAGATATCATAATGAATAGATCAGAAGTACCATTACTTCCAAAAGGAGCCATATTAATATCAATCATCATTTGACATTAAAAAAAGCTAATTCAAATAATGAACAAGCACATTCATACCAAGGGAAGACAACTAAAAAAAAAACATCCTACAAAAGTTTAACTCAGGCGGGCAATGGAAAAGATGAGGTTTCAAAATGTTTCAATGTTCACAAGTTACTAAATATATTGACACAAGAAAAAAAGAATAATAAAACCTTTTGTCATTACTCATGGCCAAGTGACACATGCTTCTATGAGAACTAGAAATTGCTATGGTTCAAGATTAGAATTTATGAATACTGGATTTTCTTTTTAGTTTTAATTTGCATTAAAATATAATCCAAAACAAAAACTATACCAAAATACTGATGAGTGATGACCAAGTTACTTAAAAACAAAAACAATACAATGAAGGGTGTACCGCACGGTACACTTGCCATAACAAATGGCCTGCTTGGTTTTTGTGTGGGCAGTAAGCTTGGATTTCATAGAAGCTTTGCATTATTCTCCAAATCAAGAAACAAGGAAAACTGAAAGCAATTTTTTTAGTTTCTTTGCTTTTTTTTTCGAATAACTTGTTTCTTGTTTCACTATAGATGCATATGTTAATTGATGTTTGCTTCTAATACATGCTTTTCTTGTTTAATTATGCTGTACTTGTTTCTAACAGACTTAGTTAGATCTAAGTCAAACCTCGATGATTTGCATAGAACCAAGACTAGAACCTCAATGATTTTTCCTAGATCCATGCAGATTCAACACATCCATGTGGATCTAGGCTAGATCATATATGTGGAACCGATCAAGATTGACGTACATCTAGCTGACAAAGATGAATAAATCAAAGCTAAATTAATATGCATTAACTAAAATTAATGCATATCTAAGCTAGATCCACTCAGATCTGACCAATATTGATGCAAATCAACATTACATCACATGTTGATCTAGACTAGATATAACCAATCTATGAAGAATCTACACCAATCTGATCTAGATCGATGTAGATCTAGTCTAATCTGCAAAGATCTAGGTCATATATCCAATACTCGAGCATAATTATTTTATTGTCCACCTGAATTTGTTTATTAACATTTATAGAAAAATGATACTAAATCAATAAAGTACTAAATCGGCATGGTGCCACCCTGATATTTGAAGCAACATCATCATTGATAGTGCATCTACTACTACTATATCAGTAATAGTGAAGGAATAACAAGGCTGAAACAGTATATGGCTGGTGAATTCTCTGACATGGTTGATTGCACAAGGTCCCTCACTAAGTCAAATTTCTCAGGCATCATTGAATTGAAAAAAAACTTGCTAAGCAAGTATCTAACAACTTGTATATCATAAGTACGAAGTATCACGGACAAAATTGTAAACAAGATGTTTGATATAATGCTTATGTATGTCCGTGTCTTTTGGTTTGTTTATGCTTTGCACAGCATGTAGAGGGACGGTCGAAGGCTTAACAACCCCATTTTAGTTGGGTTTAGTGGTCGTTTTAGGCTTGTAAATAAAGATTGTGTCATGTGGACACTTGTGAGAGATGTTCGGTCTGTAGTGGACCATTTTGGACCCTTTGTTGTGCAACTGTTCAGGGTTTGTAAAGTTTGTTTGTAATTTGCATTGGCTATGAGTGTTTTCTGAAATAAAGGCTTGTGGATCCCGAGTGAGACGCTTTCTCTAACCCGTTTTCTCATTTGTAGATCCTAAGGGACCATAGGAGGTTTCGGGGAGGCTGACTTTTGCGGACGAACACACAAGGGTGTCACACGACTTAGGCAAAACCAGCTAAGATTGTAACAGATGGTATCAAAGCGGGACAAGCACTCACAGAAACACTTGGCATGCAAACGTGGGGGACCTAGCGGGGCTGCGTTGAAGGCAGCCAGCACGCGCGATCGTTTGGGGGGAAAACAGGCATGGAGATGTAGGGAAAAGGAGTCATTCAGAGGAGTGGGCATCTGGGATTGACATTCAGAGGAATGGCCAACCCTTCGCGCAAGAGGCACCACGAGGACAAGCAAGCTTGGAAGAATGCGTAGCGCACAAAGGTTAGGATGGATGAGTTCGAGCTACGGCTCGACGTTGACAACCATATACAATGGTGCTCAAGGCAAGCGAGGCACTTGGTAAAGGATGAGACCATGTAAGATGGAATGGGTTGTTCAGCGACCGAAAGAATTGTGCAAAGCTCATAGAGCTGAGAGGAATTGCTAACTCGAAGAATTCAGTACTCATGCAAAGGCTTGTATGCGAACGATAGAGTGTTTGTGGTCATCCCAAGGCAACCGAAATTCGGCGCCATGGAGCATTGAAACTTTCTCTTCAGCATGGGAAGGATACGTCCGTAGGACGCTGAAGTGTGCAGCGAGTTTAGCATGTTGCTAGGCCTTGAGGGGTGCAACGGGAGCTATATTGACGTGGAGTCGCAATCTAGCAAGTGCATTTGCGGGAGGCAGAACAATACACAGTTTGTTCAGCAAGACAAAGTAGTACAAGGGGATGGCGGTCTCCGAAACTTTCAAAGAGAAGGAAGCGAAAAGAAAAGTTGCTCCAACGGGACAGATATCCATGAAGGATAAGTCACGGCTCTCCAAAAGGAGCACCATGTGCAACAGACCGCACATATTGAGGAGTACCTCAAAACAACTTCATAAAGCTCAACGGACCGAACGAGTGGCGAGGAGTCGTCGCATGATCTTGCTTGAGATAATGCATTGGGGGAATGCATTGCGAGATCAAGTGGGGGAGCGACCCAAGACAACACAAATGAAGGTACACTTTGAGTCGATATGGAGATCAGACTCAATGGAGGGCTGACCCGTGGAATAGTAGGCACGAGGGCCACCATTAACTCAATGCAAAACGAGGAGCGAAGCAACTTAGGTGTAACTTGGCGAAGTACCCAAGCCGCATGAAGAGAACTGGCATAGAAGATGAAAAATGGAGTGGAGGCACAGAGCTTTCCTTGAATAGAGGCAAGAGCAGGATCATGTCGTTCCATGGGTCCTTCATTCTGAAGGAGTGGACTCATCTTGTATGGTGCCAAAGACGAAGGGAGTTTCTGGGCACATACACCTTATCTCGGAGAAGCATTTGATGGAGGAACTAATGTGACTCAACTTACGGAGGCAAAGTTGGGTTTAGAAGGCCATGAGACGGGGCAAGAGGACGCGAAGGTAGGTACTCTTAAAGAATATGCCATAGTGTTATCATTCAAGTTGTCATGAAGGAAGCGGTGTGCAACAGAGATTGTGCTGGTAGGGGCAGAGGCCCAGGATCCAGACAATGGTGCACTAATTTCAGCAACGTCAGTGGACTTCGGGAGCTACTAGGCGACAGACTGTCTTAGAGCTGTGCTTCGTCTGAGTATTACCCAAGAGCGGGTGGATGAAGGTCGATTGTCAAAGGAGCGAACACAATCGAATGTGGAAGAGGCCTTGCGATGTGTTGGCAGAGGCCACATATGGAGGGATCACAATCCGAGTTCATCCCATAGGGATCAGAATGCAATGGGGATGTCACCAAGAGGTGACATAGTGTAGCGGATCATGGTGGAACAGTTCGTGACAATGCGATACACACAAATATAGTCCCGTGAGGGACTATATCATACGGAGGTATGATCGGGAGCTATTGGGAGCTCCACTTCGGTGAACAACACGACGGCAAGAAGGACTATGGATTCAAGGAGTGAAAGTCATGGTATCGCAGAGGAAGGTCTTCCATGCGTGCATCGAATTTTGCATCGGATGAAAGCCTTGGTCATCAGCATATGAGGGTTGTATACTACCGAGGGAAAAGTTCAAATGCAAGTACCAGTAAGTCTTATTGGAGGGACTTAATTATGCAGAGGTATGACCGACGTGGATGGAGAGTTGGACTACTCCAGAGCTTACATTCACTTAAGGGAACCCGACAAGTTAGAGGATAAGGTCGAGTAAGCGAACGTTGCTACCAAGAAAGCTAAGGAGAACAGAATCGGTGCGAACCCTACAACATGATGACAGAGGTCATATATGGGAGTTGTATTCTGTCTTTCCATCGACCAAGGGGAACTACTTGGATAACACAGAGGTGTTGAAGCAAAGGGTCGAAATGGGTGAGGAAGCGACGACGAGTCTAGAGGGACTTAGCTACCCAAACACAAAGCATCGGTTAGAATAGATATGGATTCAGAGAAGTGCCACCGAGACATATCTACCGATCGTGAAGGAATGTAGATATGAGGTGACGGATAGTAGGGCCATGGGCATGGCAGTGCCAATGTACTATAGAGGCAGGACTTCCATGAAGTCATCGATCCCTTGCTCTCATGGAGGGAGAGCGCTTGGTCGTGAAAGGGGCCGAGAAAGTGGAGCATACGGAGGCAAACTCCAAGTACCAAGACAAGGCTGAAGAGCAGAGGCCAAGAAACTTCATAAGACCGGTGTGAATGAGCTTCTCATCAAGATAGCCGAAAGTGAAGGACTTCGACTTCGGGTCGTGCAAGAGTGCATGACCAAGGAACGAATGAACGAAGTAAGCAGTACGCGGTGTTATACCTTTGCTACTCAGTGGAGTAGGCGACAGGGTTGATGGAGAAGACGGTACAATCCCAGAGGCGATCAAAACTATTAAAAACTTACTCCAAGTTGGAGTAAAAACTTCCTGCATTCCAGAAGTTCGATGCCATTGAGAAGGTGAACCATAGTAGTAGCTAACTCAACGCAAGGAGTGCAAGCACTTCAAGTGCTTCAGAAGTGTGAGCAAAAAGCAGGCGAAGGCAAGTAACCAACTCGATGCATGGAGTACAACCCTCGAGGAAGCGGGCGAAGTCAAGTAACCTTTGCCTTCTCAACTCTTAAAAGAATGGGCGAAACCGAGTATCCCAATTCTCTTAGCTATCCAGCAAAGGAGCTCTGCACATGTTCAAAGACCCTTCGAAGAAACAAAATGAAAGACGATAGTTGTCAAATCCTCACCAATGGTGATCATTTCTACTTAGAGTAGATTATCCGCTTTATTTTCCCAAGAGAATACCAATCGAAAGCGGAAGTGATGCGAACCTACTTGAAAGTGACAACTAAGTGAAAGAAGAGTCGATAGGCAAATTTTGTGGAGGAATGACCGAAAAACTTCAAAAGTTTACGAGGCGATGCTCGTTAAAGCTCCAACAAGCATCCACCCAATTCAAGCAGTATGAGGCATTTAAGAGACTGACGCATAGTAAGGATGGTTTTTTCCTTCATCTGAAGGATCCGTAGGAACCAACAGGGATCAACACAACTGAGCCAACCCCACACGAGAGTCAGAGTCATTGGTGAGTTGAAATAGCATGACGGATCAAAAGTTCGACTACTAAACAACAACAGCGGAGAGCAGCTGGGAGCCAAGAGGTGCATTGCAGCTGGAACAGAAAATTGAAGACTCAGCAAAGGCAAGGAGTTGTAGTGTCGGTAAAGTCTTCGGCGAGGACGTCGAAGGAATAAGTTGACGAGAATGTCATAGACAAAATTGTAAAGAGGATGTTTGATATAATGCTTATGTATGTTCATATCTTTTGGTTTGTTTATGCTTTGCACAGTATGTAGAGGGACGGTCGAAGGCTTAACAACCCCATTTTAGTTGGGTTTGGTGGTCGTTTTAGGCTTGTAAATAAATGTTATGTCATGTGGACACTTGTGAGAGATGTTCGATCTGTAGTGGACCATTTTGGACCCTTTGTGTACAACCGTTCAAGACTTGTAAACTCTGTTAGTAATTTATATTGGCTATGAAGTGTTTTCTGAAATAAAGGCTTGTGGATCCCAAGTGAGACGCTTTCTCTAACATATTTTCTCTTTTGTAGGTCTTAAGGAATCATAGGAGGTTTCAAGGAGGCTGACCTTTGCGGACGGACACGCAAGGGTGCCGCATGACTTAGGCAAAACCAACTAAGTCCGTGACAGAAAGTTGAAAAGACAATGTTTATGATGACTCCCAACTTACTAATATCATTACTGCATCAATGAAGCACTATTACATGCTTGAGGATGCCAAGGAGCACAATCATAGTTATGGTTCATCCCAGTATGAAAATGATAGTGTAAGTGAACCTGCTGGTGATTAACAAATTATCAGGATTGCCAATGCGAGGGATTTAGTGGCAGCAGAGGAATTGAGGGGCCTACTCAATTAAAAAAGGGTCCTGTATGAGGTAGCCAGCCTCACCCCAGGGCGGGTTGGATGTTTCTTGCACTTTTTCAGTTGAGGTCAATGTCAGATCTTGTAGATATTAACCTCATGACATTGCCCTTATAGAGTGCTAAATAAACCAGGTTTGACAATTGCAATGAACATGATGAGAAATAAATATATGTGATTAAGCTTCAACTATATCCCCCTCAGATTTTGAAAATTAAGGGATGAATCTCAGGTTGAAGCAAAAATACTATTATTGTGTTGTTGCCAAAATCCAGATTATGACAATTGCAATAGACATGATGAGAATAAATATATTGGTAAAGCAATCGTGAAGTTATTAAACTTCAACTATATCCCCCTTAGATTTTGAAAAGTAGACTCAGGTTGAAGCAAAAATAATAGTCTGGAGTTCTAGCCAAAATCCAGATTGTCTTGTTAGACCCCACTGTTATATGGAAAAGTAACACAAGAATCTTAGCACTCAAGCATTTGTGTTAGGAACCAAATCAATCATGATTCTAAATTTCTAATCTTCTAAATCTAATTCTTCTCCCTTGGACCACATTAAAAACCCTAGTAGTGCCAAGATCCTTGCAGAACCAAAGTCTTATGCATGTGCATAAGCAAAATCCTGGTAGTATCAATTCTTTGCATCATTCTAGCTGCACCGCATAAACTTGCAATTCATTCCTCACAAACTGATAGTATGCGCAAAGAAAAGCTGCGTGCAATGAAGAGTGCACTTTGGACCTCTGAAAACAGAAATCTACAGTTTGTATTGTATTCAGGAAACACCAAGAGAAACATGGAACAAAAAAGATAATTAATACAGATCTTCGCCGTGTCTGGAAATTCTGAATCATAGTCCAATACCCAATAAACGCAACTGCAATCGACGTATCATGCATTTTTTACACGCTCTCATAATTACTACAGATAGATATCCCAAATTTCATCGCAAGTAAATGATCGAATCACCCAGCAGAAATGCAAAGGCACAAAAGAGAAAAGGGTCACCGGGATGGCCTATAGAATTGCAAGATCTTCGGTTATATTCAACGCATAGCAACACCAGCCATGGTTTTTGAAACGCAATTAGCAATAGATACCCCATTTTTCAAGATCTTGATATAGCATACGCTTAGAGTCTAAATCCATTGACCAGAGAAATGAATGTCATCGTACAGCTTCACAAACTGGGCGTACCTCGTCCTGGCGTCCGGAATCGACCCCATTGGCGATGGGAGAACCAGGCGGTGGCGATACCCTCGGCAGGCTCCGGCGGGGAAACCGACGTGGCGACTCCTCGCCTTCGGTGGCAAGAGCCTGGGGGCCGTGGGGCTCGTCGGCAGCGTCCAAGATCCCGTCGGCGATCCGGGTGAGGCTCTCCTTGTAGGTGGCGATCGAACCCCGCATCCTCCGGGCCTCCTCGGATCCGACGACGTCAGTCGACAGAGGGTTGCGATGGATCAAGCAATCTTGGGCAGATCTGACGAGCAAAGAAACGAGGGAGGGAGGGAGGGAGGGGGAAGCAAAGCGTCAAGAAACGATCGTTTCGACGCTCGCCCTTCTAACCGTCTGTTTCTTGCTTCGAGGTAATGATGACGAACACGGGCGTCGTGACTTGGCCACCGCACGGGAACCGATGAGGTGGCTCATACACTAGACCCTATTAAATCGGGTTCGATTACTTTTAGTTGGGCGAGACCCGAGTTAGCATGGAAATAGTCTGATTTGGATTTAGGTGTCTAATTAGTAATTACTCGGAATCGTATTCAAAGACTGTTTATATAAATCTCTAAATGGGACCACCTCTCCGCTGCAACATTAGCACATATCTCCGTTTCTCTCACGTCCTTTTGTTTCATCACTTCCACCGAGCTGTGTGCTCTCTCACCGTGTATGGAAGTCGTGAGCTTTGCACATGATGCTTGTGATAGCCTCCTATGTCATCCGAAAACGGAAAGCATACTCTTACCTCACACGCATGGTGTGGGGGTGGGTAGGAGGATGACGTGCCGTAAAGAACGGATCCCAAAGATGTTCGGTTTTCGTTGCCGGAAGAGGGATGATGTTTGATAAGATAAGTGATACCATCGGCATTTGCTGCGGGTATACTATAGCATAATTCACATTAATATTAGATCTGTGATCTGTCACGAATTTAATGTAGATATCAACTTACTAACTTGTATATATATATATATATATCTCATCATTATCCAATTTTTTTATGAGTAGTGGTTTTGCTTCAGGCTTAAGGCTCGGCTCGGTTAAGAGCGAGGCAAACCAACTTTGGGGGAACAAGCTATCACTACCTTACTTCGTCGTTGGAGGGAGGAGGTGGAGCCCAGATGGACCCCGCTTAAAAAGTGGAAAGGGGGCCAATAACTTATTATTATCAAAAGTATAATTCAGTACCCCTTAAAATTAAAATTTAAGGGGGATAAAATGTTATCCTCATAAACGAATCTACCACTATAACTACATGATATTTAAAGGTTAAAATGGTAAATATGATAAAATATCCTTCCGTAAAATCCTTGTATATTGACGCTCCTTCCTATCTCACAACCTTCGTTTCCATCTCTATGATGACCCCTTCCTAAGATAGGATCATTTTCCCTATAAAGACTTTTGTTTCGGGGAACCTTTTCTCCTCCCTCTCTCTCTCTCTCTCTCTCTCTCTCTCTCTCTCAACCACTCGCCTCGGTTGTGCACGCGAACTCATCTCTCTGTCGCAATGGCTACGGAAGGCGAGGGGGAGAAGAGGTACATCACCGTGGAAGAGCTCCGCAAGCACAATGCCGCCACCGATCTCTGGATCTCCATCCAGGGTGGGGTCTACGACGTCACCGACTGGATCAAGGACCACCCCGGCGGCGACCTCCCCCTCCTCAGCCTCGCCGGCCAGGACGCTACCGATGCGTTCGTCGCCTACCACCCCGCCTCCGCCTGGGCCCACCTTGGCCGCTTCTTCGTCGGTTACCTCGACGGCTACTGCGTTACCGACGTCTCCCGCGACTACCGCCGCCTCGTCGCCGAGTTCTCCAAGTCCGGCCTATTCGATGAGAAGGGCCGCGTCGCCCTCCTCACCATCTGCTTTATGCTCTTCCTCCTCGTGACCGCCGTCTCCGGCGTGCTTCTCTCGGAAAGCGCCCTCGTCCACGCCCTCTGCGGCGGCATGACGGGCTTCCTCTGGATCCAGTCCGGCTGGATCGGGCACGACTCCGGACACTACCGGATCGTCCGGAATCCACGCCTCAACCGGGTCGCCCAGATAATCTCAGGAAATTGCCTCACGGGCCTCAGCATTGGGTGGTGGAAGAGGAACCACAACGCCCACCACATCGCCTGCAACAGCCTCGATTTCGACCCCGACCTACAGCACATGCCCCTCTTCGCGGTGTCGTCCAAGTTCTTCGCCTCGATGACATCGTACTTCTACGAGAGGAAGATGAACTTCGACGCCGTCGCGAGGTTCCTGATCAGCTACCAGCACTGGACGTTCTACCCGGTGATGTGCTTCGCCAGGATCAATCTGCTCGCGCAATCCATACTGCTGCTGCTTTCGAAGAAGAATGTGCCCAATAGATGGCAGGAGATCACCGGGGTTGCCGTCTTCTGGATCTGGTACCCTCTGCTCGTCTCGTGTTTGCCGAATTGGGGAGAGCGGATCACGTTCGTCGTCGCTAGCTTGGCGGTCACCGGGATTCAGCACGTTCAATTCTGCTTGAACCACTTTTCTTCCAGCGTCTACGTCGGGCCGCCGCAGGGCAATGACTGGTTTGAGAAGCAGACGATGGGGACGCTGGACGTCTCTTGCTCGCCATGGATGGATTGGTTCCATGGGGGTTTGCAGTTCCAGGTGGAGCACCATCTGTTCCCTCGACTGCCGAGGTGCCATCTCAGGAAGGTCTCACCTTTTGTGAGGGAGCTCTGCAAGAAGCATAAGCTGCCATACAATATTGCCTCGTTCTGGGAGGCCAATGCCATGACTGTTCGGACGCTTAGAGCTGCTGCATTGCAAGCTCAGGACTTGGCAAACCCAGTTCCAAAGAACTTGGTCTGGGAAGCTGTTAACACCCATGGGTGAGAGTTTTTAGAGCATGCACATCCATCTTCTCTGATTCAAGTGAGAGTTTGAAGGACTCGGTGGTGGTGGTTGAGATCTAAATCTTCCTATAGCCTATGCATGTTAAGTTTTGCTGCATTCCTTCCTTCAATTAAGTTATTATAGAAACTTTGTTGTAGCAGGGAGTTTTGGTTATGATGGGTGTCCAGTATCATGTTAACCTTGCAAGAAATAACTTAGTTCTGCAAGGGGACTGGATTTCATTATGGTTTGTCATATGCCTTCCTAGTTGATGTTTTCCACTATTGTTTGATTATGGCATTGCAAAATCTCTGGCTTTAGTGGGGAGTCTTTGTTATGAAAGATATCCAGCATCATGTTAAGATTCCATTATGATTTGTCATAATCTTTCCTAGATGATGTTTTCTGCTATTGTTTGATTATGGCATTGCAGAAACATTGTTATACCAGGGAGTTTTGGTTATGATAGATATCTAATAGTATGTTAAGTTTGGAAGAAATAACTCAGCGCTGCAAGGGGAATGGATTTCTTCATGTTTTCTGCTATTGATGTTTTCTACCATTGCTTAACTATGGCATTGCATAAACTTTGTTCTAACAGGGAGCTTTGGTTATGACAGATACCCAAGAACACGTTTAACTTTGGAAGAAATAGCTCAGGGCTGCAGGGGACTGGATTTTATTATGATCTGTCATAGCCCTTCCTAGATGTTTTATTACTATCTTTTAATAATGGTATTGCAGAAACTTGGTTCTGGTAAGAGTTTTGGTATAAAGTATATCCAGTATCATGTTAAACTTGGGAAGAATAACCCCCCTTCAAGGGGACTGGATTTCATTGTGATTTGTCATAATCCTTCCTAGTTGATGTTTTCCACTATTATTTGATTTCATTTATTTTTCTTCTCTAGATGATTAATGTCATTTTTTTTCTTCTACAATTATTGCAAAGTCAATCAGTGAATGCCTTCTTTTTGTTGAAATGACATAACCATGTTTCCACTCTGTTTTCTGTGTTTTTTAAATTTTTCTTAGCATACTAACTTTTTGGACTACAGCTTTCTTGTTATCTAAGAATTCAAATTGCAACAATACCAAATTTTATTTGTAGAGCATGAATATGGTAAGGAACTCTGTGGAGGAAAGCAGCTAGTGTTTAAATAAGTGGTTTTTCCTTTTCTACATTTATTTAAAGCAAAATATATCTTTTCTACTTCCTCTCATGAATCCATTATGAACTGCCTCATCCGGTCAGTAACTTCTTACGATTCCAAAATAGTGTTTCAGATTTTTGCCTTGTCAGTTTATTCATCTGTTAAATTTTGTATATCAAAATCAGACTTTGCTGACTCTTTTTGGCCACTGATCTGAATTTCCAACTGGCAATTTTTATGGTGCCGATTAGCTTATTCATGTTATTGGTCTATCTGATTAGATCAAGACAAGACCAGTCTGTGAATCATGTGGGCTGTTTCATATATGGTTGATGGAGTTTTGTCATTCAAATTGTCCACATCCTAGAGGGTTCTGTCATTCATATTATTATCTCTTGTTGTTCCATCCAACATCTCATATCGAAGTAGATGGACCCAGGGTATGTGTATTTGGAATATCCAACCTTGTTTTGGATATCCCATACTTGTTTGATAACATGGATTACAGATGATTTTAGAATCTGGAGTGATGATTTTGTTGCTTACTTTTAAGCATCTCATTTTCAGAGTATGCTTCAAATCATGCTGTTAACTAGAAGATGGACTCCATCTCCAAGTTGGACACCTTGAGACCAAGAGTTTCATCATAGTTGTGCTTCATGGAATTTGTTTATTTTTTTATGGTTTCACAGGAAATTAATCTCTGTTCTCATTTCATCACCAGCCAATGCAGATTGTCCATACGGTAGTCATCTGCCAGCCTATATAGAACACAAAAAGCCAGAAAGAAAAGAATGCAATGCTTGGTGAACCACACATTCAATCCCTTCTGTTTGTTTTAGACCTTCCTACTAGTGTTATTTCTTCCTGTGATCAATTACTACTGAAGAAAGCTCAAAGCAAATGTTAGGAAACTAGGGCAAAAAGGTGCAAATATATATACATGGATCAGTCTATTACCAGCTGCTCAGCTATTGTAGTTAATGAATTTAAATATTTGGAAATTTAAAAAAATGGTACCTGGACTGTCAATTTGTTGCTGTGTCGCACTGGTTGAACTAGAATAACTTAGTTCTTGAACCCTTGATTCAGCATCTCTGTTAGACAGTGTCAGTGGAGCTTGATCCATGCACAACAAATGATATCTTGAATAGTATAAACAATTTTATAGTAACAATGCCCAGCAACACACTTACTTGAAGCAAAACAGTCTTTAACACCATCTAAGCTGTTGGTAAGGCTTTTAGCTTAGTTGCAACCTTTTCTCGTCTGAAACTTCCAAGAAAAACAGTATATATATAGGAGGTGGGAAAGAAGTAAATCTTTTCTATGAAATCTAACATGATGGTGAATTTAGAAGCACCTAGAGAACCCACCAATAAATGAAAATCCACTCATCAAACGGTAACACTTGATATCAACTTTAATGTTGGAAAGTCTTTTAGGTAGACAGACAATATGATAAGCTGGAAGGGAATACATCCAGCAGGTGGAGGACAATTACCAAATATATATTTCCTGGCTATGTCACCAAGATACAGGGCTTCGGCAAAAAATAACAGTGCAACAAGTTGTTCTGGGAAACAGAACCTTTGATCAGAATGAAATCCATCAGGGAACTGAAACCTTTCTTGTTTTGAAGGTTTTGTTTTTGGTGAAAAATGTTGAAAGCATGCTCTTACTGCGAGAATGAGGCCTATATATCTCAAGCTTACTGTGAGTGCCAAAGGTTTTGGATGTTGATGGCTTTGAAGCCCCCAAAGGATCCTGCCAAGAAACATGTCAACCACTGGTTAGATGTAGGGGAAGAAATAATTTAGATAGTAACTTCTGCACGTAGTAAACCAACTAGCAGCTCCCAAAGAGAGGAAAGGATGGCCCCATCCCAACTCTTCCTCTCCATGTCTATCTGGTGCTCGTGGCAAAAACATCTTTGCATGGTGCAGGGTGGCACCAACAATGGCACAATAGTGGTAGTCAACAAACTACCTCGTCCTGCGACCAGCATCCTATCTTCTATGTTGGGAAAGGGAATAACATTTGTAGCCTGGATTGGTCGAGTTCAGCTGATTTTGTCCAAATTAATACATATCCTATACCAGCACCCATCTACATGGTTGTCGTGAGAGTGGAAAAGCCAAGTCCGAGAATCATTGGAACTAACATATCTAAGGACACATTGTAAAGCATTTGTTTAGTGTGATAATTCATATGGATGCCAATGAAAAAGAATGGCTCAAGGATAATAAAACTCATTACCAAAAGTACATGAATAAGTCTATATCTCCCAAATATCCAGGAGCCCTCAAAAGTTATATCTCATAATATTGAAACATTAAGAACAGAGCAAAACTAGGATTCCATTAAGTTGTAAATTGGTCTATAAGATAATAGTTGATATGAAATTTACCATCGAGCCAAATTTGTCTGAAGTCATATCAAAAGTCACATTTCCACTAGATGCCCGAAGATGACTTGATAAGGGCAGTGATGGAGCAGGCTCTTCTGCAACTGATATTTACAAATCCTTGCAAATCAAAAAATAGCTTCCAACAATACAGGTGCATCTTGGCTAGAAAGCATCAACAAATAACAATACCTAAAAGGTGGAAGACTTCAGAATTCACTTTAGGGGCTTTAGCATCCTGGGTGCTGCATAAAAAGCAATTGAAACATATAAGAGAATTACCTAAATTCTAGTATTATCAGGAGTTTATTGGTAGCAAAATGCAGAAGCTTACCATGGTGCTGTAAGGGGAGATCCATTTGATGCAGAATTAACTTCTGAAGCTAGGTGCCACGAAAGAGTTTTTGATGTGGATTTTCCTTTAACAACAAAAAATGGAAGTTCTCATGAGGCATCAACATATGATACACATAAAGATACGATCAAAAGAAAAAAAAATGCATAAAAAGCATAGCTTCAGACCTGGAGCATGAGAATGAGATTTTGCTTGAATAGGATTCACATTGCCATCAGCTGGTATATGTGATTTATTCTGCACATCGTTACAGACAGAATCTGGCTTCAATTAAACAAAAAGGTCAGATATATGATATCACTGTTCCCTAGAAAAAGGATAACATCATTATTCTGGAACATACCTGGTAAAATGTAATGCTTGTGATGTCTTGAAGTTCTTGCTGACATTTGAAGCTGATTAAGACCTTCTTTATCAACATAAGCTTGGCAAGTAAAAGTTCGCTGAAACACAAGCAGCAAAAATTACCTCTGTATGAAATGTCAGGTGTACTACCACTTGAACAGAGCAAGCATACCTCATTTAAAGATGAAATCTTCATTTCTATGGTTGATATATCAAGCATTTGTTGTTCAAACAGGTCTGTCAGTTTGTAAGCAACTGTGCCGAGATGATCTATGGCATTCACAAGGGCTCGAACAGCATAATTCTTTAGATTATCCAATACCCTAATAAAATTGCTTAAACATTTAATATGATGCAAATATATGCATTTAGAAAACAAATTTATCGTAACAAAGGAAAAAAATGACAACCAAGCTAATTAAAAAAAATTCTAGACTTCGGTTAAGTGCAATTTGGCAGATGATACATCCATCATTTCCATTAAATAAGAAACAGGAGTGATTTTGTTGAATGCTGTACATAATAACTCTAGTGATAGTCAACCAAACTTGGTATGTGTTTCTTTGGCCATCCATAGGAAGGGAAGAGTAATTGATTAATGATCATGACTAAGAACGGCAGTTGTACTGTCAGCCTAGTTTATCTCTAAATCATGACTAAGAAAAGTTGCAGGATGCAAGTTCTTATTTCTTCTTCTTGAATTGGTGAGCTTTTTTGCCTTCTGGAGGCAAACTTTAGAACATATCAACTCATTTGCCAAGTGTGTCTCTGTAGGATACAAAGCAGAAGAGACTGAGAATAAAGGACAAACTGTGCATGCATTCTTCACACTCTCTTAAATTAAATTAGTGTCTTTTAATAAGTATGAGAAGTATAACTAAAGAGAACATCTCAATTCTCAATGATTTCATACTCAGTAATATCTTAAATCAATGAATAGAAAGATTCTGCTTTCCATAATATAAAATCAATTCATCATCAATAAAGATGTCAAAATTCTGCAAAGAGTCTGCGTGCAAAAGTCAGGCCAGGATCACTAAACAAAGAATTTTGATCTGGTTAGTTATGTAATATCTCAATTTTACTAGTCTCACCTTTTTATGTTGTTCATCATCACTAACTCATCATGAACATATCATAACAGTGATATCTCCAAAGCCATCACGTTATGTATATAACACCTTGGGCGTAGCGTGGAATGTTCCTAGTGGAGAAGAAAGCTCTAAGGATTAACATGTTTTCTTAACAGAAATAAGGCAATTTTTTATCATCTTTTGTCTTTGACCAATGAATCTAGAAGATTCAACACATATTTCACCCAAAAACGACATATTACTAGATGAAAAAAATCATAAACAAAGCATCATAATCAATTATTCAAAAACTTTTACTTAGAGAGAAGACCTTACATCTGTTTCTGTTCACTATGAAGGTAAGACTTTTCACAATACTCAGCAGCAGAGTAGAGCTGTGGTCTCAGGTTCTTGAGTTCCTGCACACAGTATCGAGTAGCAGATCACGTCCACAGCATAGTAACATTCAAATGATTCCACGGCTTAAAATAATCCAGGATTGCAGGTGAACAGAGCGATCAGGCGACAAGAGATGGGAGTGAACGGAATTCATCAAGAAGCAATCAGAAAACCGGATAACGACCACAGAAACCCTAACATCAGCACCAAAAGAAACAATCAACAGAACAATCAAGAGCTCAAATCAAGAAGGTTTCACAGTATGAAAGGAAAACCGATCAGATCTGGACGCGGAAGAACAAGCAAAGAAACCGGATCGGATGGAGAGGAGGAGGAAAGAAAGACCTGCAGAGCCTTGACGAAGGTCTTGCTCCTCTCCATGGAGACCTCGTCGAAGGTCATGGCGCCGCTCTCCGACCGCCATTGCTGCATCCTCCCGCTCCTCTCCCACACCACTCCAGCGATCGGGCAAAAATGAGCCGAACGAAAGGGGGGAGCGGGAGCGGTTAGGCAATTAACTCCGTCGTCCGCTCGCCTCCCTCTTATGGATTAGGCGTGGAGCCGACGGGAATTGAAGCGGAAGCAATACCGGGAAAATGGGAAGATGCCTTATCACCGTTGGTTGCCTTCGAAATCCGATCGAGCACGGATCGTAAAGCGGGGTGGGGAAAGTGTGATGTGACTGCGGTGGGCAGAGGTGGATGTTGGTGATATGGACATGACGCAGTGGATCAACTAGCACTCGATTAGGTGGACCAACATGAGGACTACAAGCAAAGCAGATTGCGACCGCTCTCTTAAAGCGTGCTCTCCGCTGTCCCACGGACACGTGCTGCGTTGTTGCTGCATGATGAGCTTTCTTCCTCGCCAAACACGCTTCGAGTAGGCGCCCGCACGTGCACCGTGCTCTGTGGAAAAAATATTTTTCAAATATTTTTTAAAGTATTTCTAATAATATTTCTTCGAAAAGTAAATAATTTAATTAGTGAATAAAACTAATCAAAATCCGATTCTTGATTTTTCCGGTTCAACCGACCGATTTAATCCGGTTTTTATAACCATGATTACATTCAACTAAAACTCTCGTCATGAACCGACCCAACAACGTGAGTAAGCCGAAGTTGACTCGAACCGACTCGAGAATTCCCTGAAAACCTAAAAAAACCAAACCGACTTCGGTCGGCATCTTTACGAAAAGCCAACCCATCGTCGAGGGATCTTCTTCTACCCGGCGACCAAGAGTCTTGAGATCTTTGCCCTAATTCAGGTAGCTCTTTGTGCCTAAATCTATTTTGATCGTAAGTCTGACAGCAACCACGATTCTTCCTAAAGGATACGCATTGAAACGATTGTTTAACAGCGTAATTCTTTTTTACAAATGTGTTTCTTGTGTTACCTTTCTTCTCGAATTTTTCCTGACAAGAGACTGCGTTTTGGTTGAGGTCGTCAAGCTGGAGCATTCCAATCTCCGAATAAAGCGGAAAAATCTTCCCTTTTAAGTCAAGTGTTGCTCAGATGCAGAGATTGGGGGATTTTAAGCTGCCTCACTTCTTCAATTATCCGCCCTACTTCACGTAATTTCACGAACCACTTGCTTTCATGTTGATTAGGAAAAACAAAGATAATGATCATAATCTGAACAATTCCTGGTGCTATCTGTAACGTGCAATTTATTGCTTTTTTTCGTCCTACTTATATCGAGCATCGGTTGATGGATATATGTTCACTACTTTGGAAAGAGTCAAAAGTGTTAGCTAGGTTAGCTGATAAATACTTTGCCAGTTTATCGTAAGGTCCGCGGCTTGAATATCGCCTTCGTCACTTACCCTTTGTTAAGAAAAGAAAAACTTACGAAAGAGTTAATACACTTCATTAGAGTTTTGATTACAGCCCATAAAAGAAATCACTTAGCCCAAAAAAAAACTGGCATGCTTTGTTTTATTTATTAAATATGTAATTCCTTTCCCTTTGACATATTTGTTTGGTGTTTCTAGACTTTGGATCTTTCATGATCTATCTCTATTTTGTGAATAATACATTCAATTGTGGGAACAAGATCTTGTACTTCATATTGCATGAGCTTAACCATCATAACATACCAAGTGTTATTTAGATTGTGGGAACTCATGTTTTCCATATACTACCTCCAACACATCCAAGGCCAAATTCGATGAAATGTTGTCAATATGAGCGTTTGATGATATGAGGTAACTTCTATTCGATGTGTCTCTCAGTGATAATGGTTGAATCTGGGTTCCCTTTTCCATTTTGTTAGGAATCATAAATAAATCAAAGGATGGAAATTGTCGGTCTATTGCATACATTAATTATCACAACCAACTACTATAAATAACAAACATAATTGAAGTTTAAGGTTAATACTATACCCAAGCTGACCCCAGCTTCAATAAGAACTATAAGAGTGAAAACCATTCTAAATAAGATGATAAAATTCATGTAGAACTCAAATTGATTCAATGCTGAACCTACTTTATCCTAGCTGAGGTCAAGTTACCGAGTTGATGTTAGATACTGAACCATTTTGAAGTTTCAAACTATTTGTATTTTGGTCCACAAAGCTAATAATTATCATTTTTATGAGAGTAATATACTGTGGTATATTTCCTTAACATAATTTGTTTTTATATAACATAGTATGATATGTTAATTGTTTTATAGTATCCATCTCTTGTTACAACTGAAAATGCTTTTATTTGTTCTAGACAGATACCTCACCCGTAGATTTTTCAGTATGAATCCTCTTACTGTGTGATAAATCACAAGCTAGGTTCATGTGATCTTAACCATGCATGCAAGATTTATTCTATTCTTTTTACTTGAAATTTAATTTTTCACTCTAGAGAAGCTGAACAAAGCATCTTACCTCTCTTATGCTATTTCTAGTCTACAGCCAGTAAGGGAAACACGTGAGAAGCAAGTACAACTGTGGAAGGAGCTCATACTTGACTACTGCAGAAGCCAAAAGATATTTGTAATTAGTTTGGAAGAAGATTTTCCCCTCTTTTCGAATCCAGTCGTTGAGAGTAAGTCATTCTTTGTATACAATTGCAATCTACAGGATAGGGGATGAAAGTAAAAAAATCAAGTCATACTTCGTATACAATTGCAATCTACAGGATGGGGAATGAAAGTAAAAAATTAACAAGTCTATTTTAACTGTGAGATGCATAGGTTTCACTTTTTTTTTCATAAATATATCCACTATAGCTGACCCTAAATAGTTAGAACCTACAGCCTTGTTGTTATTGTTCTTGCATCTATCAACCATAGTATTTAATCTGTTGCCCAAAATTCTGCAAAGAATATGTTTCTCTTTTGACTACCATGATTAGTTATGTCTTGGTTCTAAAACATGCCTTTGTTTTAAGGGTTTCCCTATTGCTTGCAGGATCTTTAAGCCATGAGGCAAGGCAGGTATTTCTTGCAGCTCTTGTTAATGAAGGTTTGTTGTCATCCAGTTAATGAAATCTGGAGTGCACCTCATTGTCTTCATGAGGCAGTATAAAAACACTGGATCATATTGTAAAGCTGATAACTGTAATCTTTGAAATTTTAATATTTGTTATTGTTCATAACATCTGCAGGACGTGCAGAATGGATTGACAAAAGTCACAAGAAATGTCTAATTCTTTGGCTAAGAATTCAAGATTGGGCCGATTATATTTTGAACTTTGTGTGTAAAATCTAGTGAATTTAAAAATATTAAAATGATAGCCCAACTTGCTTATGGTTGCTGGTTCTTTGCATCTTTGGCTCAGGTAAAAGAAAATGGATTTGAAGACAGTGTCATGACTGTTGAAGATATACGATTTGGAATCGAAACACGTGGCACTGGTAATGCTAATTCTCCTTTTTCAGTGATTTATAGACCAGAACTCATTTTAAGTTTGTAAGAAAGAAAGATATTCTTTTAAATAGAGAATAGCCATAACCATATTTATCCTACTGCTTCTCTTTTTTTCTCTGAAGTCATTTTCAGGTTCGGTTAGGTTCACGGATACCAATTTGTTATATTGCTGGATTTTACTTTTTATTTTTTTGTTTTTTTTCTTTTTGTTGACATGCACTTTCCACATTACTGTATATATCTTGTCTGTGTATTAAAACCTCTGGAGGTTCACTTTGGGGCCTTTCCTATAAGCCTTTGTCACTTGTCATGTCATTACGGACATCTAGTTGGCATTCCACATGACCATGATACTTGGTGAATGTTAGTTTGCATTCTTTTGTATCCCAGTTCCGTTGACAAGTTAACATTTCTCCATGTTGCTTTTCCATCTATGCTTCAAGAGCTTGCTGGAATAGATCGTGGTGTGCTATTGCGTGCTTTGAAATTATTGGAGCAGAAGGGTAAAGCAGCAATTTTCAAAGGTACCTCTGCCGATGACGAAGGAGTAAAATTCTCTGCTTAAGTTTGTGTTTCCCAAACTGATTGTTTTCATATATCTCAAACATAATTCCTTAGTTATCTCCTTGTATTACCTATATGCTGCATTGTGCTGATGAATGACTGGAAACTTTATTTTCATCATGATATTTATTTTGGATGCTTAAATGGAAGCCTTTTGTCTCTGTTCCATTATTTGGATGAACTGTTTGTGTGCTGATTAATGTACAAGGATTTCAGCATATATTATTGGAAATTCAACCTCTTCCTGTCAATTTGGAAAACTGCTTGCTTTATTGTTGCAGTGTGCTGCCTTCTATCTAATCAGCTGAATCTTATGTAAATTTGGAGATGAAACTACATTGTTGTAATTCTGAAGCATCCAATGGTTGATTCTATTACCCGAATTATCTTTTATTATAATTATACACAAATTGTTGTTAAATCAGCAGTCACATTCTTTTTTCTCCGACTTGGATTAAGTTTGCCTCTAACTGAATAGTTTTACCAGAGCAGCTATTTTGTTGGCTCTTGTGAAGAAGCAGCTGCTCCTTCTACTAGTCTTCAAGCTCCTACTGCTGCTGTTACTGGTTTCTTCATTTCTTTGCATTCGTTCTGAAACTTGAACAAGTCAGTAGCGTAGCAGTTACCACATGAAACGATCACCTTTTTCCTGTTCTTCTCTAACAGGAAATATTTGACATGGAGGCCAAGCTCATGTGTTCATTTGGTTTCTACAGAGCTCATTAAAATTTACGATGGCTGCTACTTTCACCAATCCATCATTCTCTTGCAGCATTGGGCAGATTCCTGCAAGATAAAACACTTGGTAACTGATTTCCGAATTTGCCCCTTTCATTTAAATATAAGATATATTTCTGTAAAATTACATATATATATATATATATATATATATAGTCAAGTACGCGTTTTAGCATAATGAACTCTATCACGAATGCGCAAGATAAAGAGGACGTATCTCCGTCGTTGGAATTCCCGCGCGCCGACTTCTCTTACCACGGCGCGGTGTTGAACGCGGTCAAACACGGCCTGCTCACGTCTCATCTCTGGTCAAATCAACCCACCACCTTAGTTGCCGACTTGAGGTACGATGTGGCGGTGAGATAGCCGTGTCTGATCCTCGTGAGTTGAGTCGTGTGGAGAAGCATTTCCGCGATTTAAAAGCAACCCACGAGCACAAATTTCCCATCACTTTTCTCTTCCCGTTTCTGCATCCGGCCGCCAGAGATAGAACGCCGGTAAGCAAATCCCTCCTCTCTTCCTCCGTTATTGGTTTTCGTTGATCGATTTCGCTTTCCTTTCTTTGTTTCGGTTTGTTTTGAATCGTTCGGATCGATCTGTGGTGGTGTTTTGGCTAGGTTTAGGTCATCGCCCGATCCATGGCTTCGAGGCGGATCATCAAGGAGCTGAAGGATCTCCAGAGGGATCCCCCGACTTCATGTAGCGCAGGTGCCCCAAATCTCCTTCTCTTTGCTCTTCTCCTTTGTTCCTTGAGTTTCTCATCCCCTTCTATAAAAGTTGCTTCTTTAAGGTTTAGATCTGAATCCAATTGTGCAATAAATCACGGCTTGCGGGAAATTTGTTAGATGATGTCTGCCGTTCAGATTACCTCACATTAACTTATATACGAGCAGAGCCTGCTAGCTCAGGATTCTGTAAGATTAGCATGCCTAGAAAGGAGCTTTCCGTTATTTTCATCATATGTTCGTTTCCTGCGTCTCGAGTAATACAGGTCCAGAAAGACAGTAGTGGTATCGAGGAAAATGTTTATGGTCGATGGCTGGTCGATAATGGACTATATTCTGTTTGCCCATTGGGCTCTAGATCTGCTTGATTATGCCATGGAGATCATTTTATTGCTGTATTTTCTTCATTGTAAAGTTGCTTATGATCGTTAACTCCATTTATTTTAGATCGTTTTTGTTGGATGCTAAAGTAGATTTTTTTCACGTAACAATTGGACACTGTATGTGGAAAAGCTTGTAAGCACACCGGTTGAGGTATAAGTGCGGAAAAGGTAAACTACTTGTACTGATAGGACTTCAAAGCAAACATTTTCGATTGCTTACGGTGTATTACGGATTTGACTTGCTAGCGCACCTGGTAAAGTTGGTTGGTTGTTGGTGAACCTGCAAAGCTTCGCATCTTGTGTTTCTTCCAGATCTGAGTTAATTTGTCTAAATTTTCAAATGATGATCTTACAGGGCCAGTGGCTGAAGACATGTTTCATTGGCAAGCTACAATAATGGGTCCACCAGACAGTCCATATGCAGGGGGAGTTTTTCTTGTCACTATCCACTTCCCTCCAGATTATCCATTCAAGCCACCTAAGGTATTTATTGTTGATGTAAAGCAGAGATAACAAAAACTGCATATGGTATCTGTTTGTGTTTAACATACAATGAAATCTTGTTTTGTCCTAACTAATATCATATCTGATTCTCCAATCGGGTAGAACATATAGTGACACATAGGGGAAAAATAATTGTTGAACATATGAATGATTTTGTTTTTTATTGTAAAAATGTAAACTAAAATATGTATTTTCTTAAAAGCCACAGAACTTTTATTTCTGTTCTTATCATGATAAATTATACATATGTTTTAGAGGCTATGATGAAATATCTTAAGAGCTGTATGTCTTGCAGATTTCCTGTTGAGATGTTCCCAATGTACCTTCTAAAAGGGCCATATTAGTGTCATTTTTTTAACACCATGAGAAGGTGCAGGTTGGTCTAATTTTGGATCAGATGAAAGAAGTCACAAGTTTAATCTAGGATAACGATAAATCATTTTAGGAAGCTGTATGCATCAAAATATATGCAAAATTACAAGATGAGATATTTTGGAGGTTATTGATATTAATGCTAACCATAGAGGGGATATATGAAATGTAGGTTTGTCAAAGGTATATATATACATACCGCCTTCCTAGTTTTATTAGTGAAACCACAATTTTTGCTCATTCTTTATAGTTGGTCACTATTAATTGTTGATCCGTGCTTCAGACAATCTAAGCTATGCTCATGTTTTTTTTTTTCTTTTGCCAAAAAAGAAAACTAAATTAAATTACTGAAGAAAAAGTATGTTACATTGTAACCCACTCTCCTCGAAGCACAAAATCTGACAAAACTGAGGATGCCAATCATCCTTCCAAGCTCAACAACAGCTTTGGCTCCTTGGAGCGATCCAATGCTCATGTTTCAGTTTAGTCTTCATTAAGTAGCTCAAGCTTGTGTGGATCATAATCTGAACCAAAGCTGAAGCTTGAACTCCACTGAAACTTTTAAGCTATGCTTGGTTTGCCAACTTATCTTTTTCAATCTATATGTGCCCATGTTCCATTTAGGATATAACAGATATGGTTATAATGTCAGGGCTTTGGTTAATCAAACAGTTGATATGACTGTTACCTATACAAATATTTGCTTCAAGATTAAGACCCGGTCTTCTAACAACTGTTCTTTATTGAAAAGAAACATTCTTAGCAACATTGTTCATTTCATGCTCGAGAGTTGTGACAGTTTTTTTGTTTTACATGTAAATTTTGACTTCCCCTTATATCTTTGGAGCATCAACCGTCATTCATGACCCGCGCTGGGATAGTTGTTAATAAGAAGGCCCATCCAGAGTAGTCTTATTGAAAGGCAATGTAAACAATTTTTTATAGAATATAACCTTAGATTTATCTCCTGGATATTGCCTGTTGCATATATAAATTTCCTATACATATAGTCTCACTGAAGATAATGGAAATTGAGCTTAATGAAAGATCTAGAACTACAAACTTGTTTGCCCTTTTTTCCCTTAAGGACAGGTGAATTTTGTTGGTTGGTTAACTTGAGATAAGTTGATTGTTCAAAAGAATGGCATAATTTTTGGAGGTGGAAATGAATGCAACTTTATCTGAGTGTATCATGGAAGTTCAAGTTAGAAATCTACCATCATTTTATTCAGAACAAAAAGTAAGAATGAAGCTAAAAAAGTAAGGAAGCATTATGCCATAGAGATAAACAAGGTAGATATTGTACGACGTTGCTAAATATTAAAAAAAAAAATTCACTCTCCCATTCTGATGGATAAATCATGAATAATATTTTTGCATACAAGATCCATGCCATCTAGCATTTGTCGCCCCACTTATCACTAAGTACTATGGTATTGATAAAGCACAAAGTACTATGGTATTGTCATGGACATCAGTATAAGGGTTTTTAGGACTATTATTTATACAGGACATATACTTCACTTGAATATAGTGATTATCTTACCCTGGTTGACATGTTCATGAATCATTGAGCATTTAAGAATAGATTCTATGATTTCCCCAACTTATTGAGTGTGCCTTCTGCAGGTTGCTTTCAAGACGAAGGTTTTCCACCCAAATATTAATAGCAATGGAAGCATTTGCCTGGACATCTTAAAGGAACAATGGAGCCCTGCATTGACTATTTCCAAGGTTAATTCTTTTTCCTTGTATCAATTATCCTTCAGCAGTTGCATTCTCTCTGCTTATCCAATTTACATCACACTAATCAAATTTGTGTTGTCACTAAGGGCAGGTGATTTAGCAGTGCTATGTTATTGCTTCTTTTTGGTATATTCACATCATGGCCAGACCTAGAATTCATATACATTGTATAGGCCCATTGGTTCAAAATATTGGTGTGTGAGATGTAATGATACAAGTTGGTCATATATATTTTAGTGAAAAGCCTGTAAGTTGATTTAGGTTATTGCTTTATTAACTATGGAGCATATCCTCATGAATGTGCCTCTTTTATTTTGCATCTTGCAGGAATACTTATTGGCCATGCATTATATTTTCATTATTTCCCTATCACCCTTATGTTTGCACTTATATATTATATGCTTAATGGGATTTTAAGAACAACAATTTCCTCTCTTACAGGTGCTGTTGTCAATCTGCTCCCTCTTAACTGATCCAAACCCAGACGATCCTTTGGTACCAGAGATCGCCCATATGTACAAGGCAGATAAGGCCAAGTATGAGACCACGGCAAGGAGCTGGACCCAGAGGTATGCAATGGGCTAAAAGATCATGGTGGTACAAAAGATTGTTGGGGCCTTCCCCTTCTTGATCTGTGGTGTTTGTTGTCTTTGTAAGATTGAAATTATCTGTCTCTGATAGGGAAACCCCCCCCCCCCCTCCCCACAAACTTATCAGACGACTGCTATGGTTGATTGTTTATTTACAAGTTTATATTTGAATCTTAAAAGACTTCTTTCTCGGGCTTTCAATTACCAGAAGAGAGTTGGCAATAGTTCTCTCAAATAAAAAAAAAAGAAAAAAAGGTCTTTGGTGTTGGCATAACACAAAATTAATGTCTTTCTTATTTGTAATTTTTTTTTTATGTTTTCTTACTATATTGGTTACTAACTTATAGCCTTTTTCATTTTATTCATTCTTCTTTTGGGGTATTTTCATTTAGTTCGTTTATAATGTTTCTCAATAGTGTTTATAGTATGCTATCGACATATTATAAATATTATTAAAAGATATTGTAAGTGGTATCGTATTATATTCTTTTAGTTATCATTATTTTATAGATTATTATAATATTATATTATTATATTTATAATTAGTTTGATTAAAGTTTAAAATTTATTTAGATATTTAACAGTATTTTCAAGTAGGTTTTATTTATTGTAGTGGTCAAAACATTGTAATATATCAAAAATACTATAACAAAATAAAACATTCTAACAAACAGAATCATATTTTAAGACAATTTGAGTTTGTTTTTGTTAAATAAGGGTATAATTTGAAAAAAATAAAAATAAAATGAGATATCAATCGGGAAATATTTAAAATATAAGTATTTGTTTAGGAAATTCGTCCTTTTAAAGAGAAAATTCCTCCATATTGTTGTATGCGCATATGTAGATTTATGTAATCTTTTGGGCTTTGGTGGACTTACAATTAAATTTTGATGTCACAAATGTAATGGGCTTTGGTGGACTTCCAATTAAATTCTGATGTCACAAATGCAATGGTCTTGAAAAAAAAAAAAAAATTCCATTGAAAACATACTCCTTTTCTTAGTTAAATTCCTTTTATTTCGTCAAATATCGTCCAACTCCGTAATATTGCGCCATTATTTACTCTTTAACGTTCGTGTGCATAACACTACTTGTTTTAATCTCTTTGGTTTTTATGAATCCAATTTCAATAATTATTTTTGGCTGATTTTCTTGAAAAAATCTTTTTTTTGATCTTTTCTCGTAAAGTGATATGGTTTTTTTTTTTCATTTGATGTACCTTATCTTCTAATAGCACTCGTCGTCATAATGCTCCTCGCCTCCATCTCATTCTAAGGCCTAGTATTACATGACGATGTGAAAGATGCGAAAAGAGATACGGAGAATGAACATTGTAAGGCCTTGGCATTACTCAGGAATGAGAGAGATGGAGTTATTGGTAGTGGCGCGAGAGGTGATGACACGGAAAATAATGAGTAACCAACCTCACCTCGTCGACTTCATCCTTGTCGTACACTTATCCTTCATATCGCCTGGGTGGATGAAGTATAGCTTATCATTGTTGGTCAACTAGATGAGGTCACCCTGATAGATAGGAGGGAGGAGATATGATAGGTAAGTGCTTAGTAATGATCACATAGGAGAGGTCTTTCATGATAGAGGTGATGATGATAGTCTTCCAATGGGAGGTGAGAGAGGCACGTCGAGTGGGGGGCCGAAGAGATAGGTGGGTTCATGCAAATGATACTTAACACGATGAGCTATGTGCTATGTGGTGAAGGAGGGAGAGGAAGCCCCATTATGATTGTCTTCTTCCCATGCACTGAAGCCGATGATGCATGGAGATAGTTCGATGACGAACATGAGGGAATACAATTGGGCCTCACGTTGGGATAGAGACGACCACACGGAGACAACAATACCTCGCAACGGAACGAAGGCTATAGATGGTGAACAATAGTGAAGAACATTATGGGTATTATAAAAAAAATAAGAGCACCAAATGAATAATTAAAAATAAAAACTAGTGAAACCTTGAACAAAAAAAAAAGAGAGATTTTTTTCTAAAAAATCATCCTTTATTTTTTTAATCTCGGTAATATAATTAAATAATTTCCAAACACAGGAATTTCTAATATATTGTCATGGTCATTCAATCAAAGAAAACTATTCACCTGTTTGACGCATTCACTTCTAATTATCCAAACTCGATTCGAGTACTTTAGGAATTAAAAGGATATGACATGCATATATCGTGTCTCTCTCAATCAAAGGAACTAAAAGATCCAAAGCGAGCAGTGAGATTAGGAAACATAGCGTCACTCTCTGTGAATCAAAAAGGATCCCACGGCAAACATTTAAGGCAGCGAAGAAAAGTCAGAGACATGAATCGTACGAAATATAATAGGATAGTTATTAGAATTAAATCGGACATCAATTCGATTCAATACCGAATCATGGTTCCATTAATCAGTTCACGGATAACAACAGTATCAGTGATATCAACTCATCATATCATTTAATTCAAGTTAAATCATATATATATATATATATATGGAAATGATCAAAATTGGTTTTCACGTCAAAATCTTGGTAATAAGTCAAAGCTCTATATATATAATTAAGGAGCTACAATTAATGCCTTAATTAGTTACTTGGTCAATCAAAAGCCGGCTATCATCCTGGGTCTGGTCAGCGCCTGGTTCATCTATCGGCGTCGAGCCACGAACTAGGAAAGGATGCCTGGCTATTGGTTTGAGAGTTCTGGGCCCCAAAGTCGGCGACGAGCCAGATGACCTCATGGCCTCAGGTTACCCTCGTGTGTGATCGGAGGATCGAAGAATGGGTCCCGCAGGACCCCATCATGCTCTTTCCAATCAGCACTCGGGTAACCGGGAAGGTCGAGGAATAATGGTATCCTTCGCTGTCGTTCCCGGAGGAGGAGAAAAAAAAGGGGCAAAAAACAAAAAGGAAATAAAACAGAACAAATGTGCTGTTAGGTTCCATATTTGCGATCTCGATTGCGTGCTGAGATCAGCTGAAGAAGCCATGACGACTGCATCCTCTTTCGAGCTCCTAATCCTCAATGTCTGCCCGGGAAAGCCGGAAGTCGCGTTCGACCCCCGATCTAATCCCTCTCCTTAACCGAAATCCCAATCCTCCATTAATCTTCCTTCGTCGTCGTCTTCTTCCTCGTCCATCGCAGGTAGGCCTCACCTGGCCCCACCACGTACGTAGACACGCACTCGCTGCAACGATATTTCATTTCTTTGCTTCGTGGATCGTCGCCTCTCCCCGGTCTTCCTCTGCCTCCTCCTCCTCCATGGGGGAAGCGTCGCCGGTGCCGCCTCCGCCCGACGCCGGCGCCGCCTTCGTCCTCGAATCGAAGGGTGGGTGAGCTCTCTCTCTCTCTCTCTCTCTCCTCGGCGGTGCAGCGCTAGGGTTCTAACTCCACCACATGCACGTCGGCGTTACAGGGAGTTGGTGGCACGCGGGGTTCCATCTCACGACGGCGATCGTCGGCCCCACAATCCTGACGCTGCCGTACGCATTCCGAGGGCTGGGCTGGGGGGTGGGGCTGGCGGCGCTGACGGTCGTGGGCGCCGTCACCTTCTACGCCTACACCCTCATGTCCAAGGTCCTGGATCACTGCGAGAAGCAAGGCCGACGGCACATCCGGTTCCGGGAACTCGCCGCCGACGTCTTGGGTACGGAAACCCCATCGCATCCATGGCGACCGCCACTCTTCTTCCCTCCCTTGACCATCTTTTCTTCTTCTTGTTCTGGTTGCTACAGGCTCCGGTTGGATGTTCTACTTCGTGGTGTTCTTCCAGACTGCCATCAACACCGGAGTGAGCATCGGCTGCGTCTTGCTCGCCGGAGAATGCCTCAAGGTAGCGTTGTTTTCCATGATTTCTACCTTGTTTACTTGTCTTCTTCTTTCCCAAGTCTCTTTCATCATTCTTTTCTTACTTAATTTGTGTTCTTCACTTGATGTTGCTGAGCTTTTAAGCTTTGTCCTCATAGCATCCAAAGGTTTGGTAGTTTACACACTATAATATGCGATAATAGTTCTTTTGTTTATTACTAACCAGTCTTCTCTTTTGGAGAAGAATGAGTAAACAGTTGATACCATTTCATTATTAAGCCCAAAGAATCACCTTAACATCGTCTGAACCATCACAAACTGTAGCATTTTTTTGATGCGGACAGTGATCATTGTGTGTACGCAACAAGTTCCATATTGCATGTTGGAAGTTCATCGACACAAATGTCAGGTGCACATCCTAATTGCTGTTCTTGCTTGTTCTTCTCTCTTAAACTCATTATTGGGGAGAGGAATTAGGCATATTTATTCTATGGTGTTAGTCAAGGAATATGGGTAAAACACTGGTGCTGAAATGATAGCAACATGAGATAGTCGGTGAAAAGAAAGCACTAAAAGAGAGTATAAATCACAAAGGAAAGCACCAAATTTCATTACCAAAGACCGAAGAATGAACTCCATTGTGTCTTGATTAATTCAGATGAAGAAGTTGATGTAAGACTCCATGTTTATTCTCATGCGACGATTGTGTTATTCTAACATCTTTGTGCTGCAACTTGGCTCTCTTGTGTGCACGGGATGGATCAGATCATGTACTCCAGTCTTTCTCCTGATGGTCCCTTGAGGCTGTATCACTTCATCGTTATGGTGACAGTGGTGCTGATCCTTCTCTCGCAGCTGCCATCCTTCCACTCTCTCCGGCACATCAATCTGGTCTCCCTTTTTCTGAGCTTGGGTTACACTACTCTCGTAGCTGCAGGCTGCATCAACGCAGGTCATTCTCTTCCTCGATCCTCTCACTTGTTCTCCAAGCAATCACACTCGATTCATCATTTGATCAGACGCCGATAAGGCGAATCATATTCTTCTTGATGGAAGAACACATCTTTTGTTAATATATGCAGAGAGAATGTTCTTGGCATATAGAGAGTTGGACCTCAAGCATAAAGATATATAAACTATCTAATAAAGATCATGTAATATTATGATCCATCATCAGAAAAAGATGCCTAAGCAGCACAATGATCAACCCTTTGCCTTTCTTCTTTGCAAAAGGTTACTCCAGAAATGCTCCTCCGAGGAACTATTCATTGGACTCATCCAGGGTTCAGAGAACCTTCAATGCCTTCACGTCCATCTCCATCCTGGCTTCGCTCTATGGAAATGGAATACTTCCGGAAATCCAGGTACAGCTACATGAGTGCGGTGTCTGCATCAAATTGTCTCTTGTTGACCCACCAAGCTGCACCGATGCAGGCAACCATGGCACCTCCAGCCACCGGAAAGATGGTGAAAGGGCTGATGCTGTGCTACTCCGTGATCATCGTGACGTTCTACTCGGCTGCAGTCTCTGGTTACTGGGCCTTCGGAAACAAGGTGAACTCCAATGTGCTCGACAGCCTTCTTCCCGACTCGGGACCTTCCCTGGCACCCACATGGCTACTGGGGCTTGCGGTCGTCTTCGTCCTCCTCCAACTCTTAGCCATTGGCTTGGTAAGAGACTGATCCAATGAGGCACAAGCTTAGCTGAGGAACTTGATGCCACCATTGTTCCGATTGCAGGTTTACTCCCAGGTCGCTTACGAGATCATCGAGAAGAATTCAGCCGACATCAAGAAGAGCAAGTTCTCCAAGAGAAACCTCGTGCCCAGGCTGATCCTTAGAACGCTCTACATGGCGTTCTGTGGATTCATGGCTGCGATGCTCCCGTTCTTTGGCGACATCGTTGCCGTCGTCGGCGCGATCGGGTTCATCCCTCTGGATTTCGTACTCCCCATGCTTCTGTACAACATTTCCATCGGCCCTTCCAAGCGCTCGGCGATCCACTGGATCAACATCTTCATCATGGTTGTGTTCACCGGAGTCGGCATCATGGGGGCGTTCGCCTCCATCAGGAAGCTGGTGCTCGACGCCCACCAATTCAAGCTCTTCAGCAATGATGTGGTGGGTTGACGACGGACAGTCATCGATTTCATCCTCTTCTCAACAGAGGATGAGTGTTTTCAAGATTGTTCGGTCCTGCAGAGAGAGCACATGTACTAATACCATAGTAAAGAAAGTCGTAGCTTCCGGTCAGCGTTGTTCGTGAATGGCAGCATATGATTTCCAAGGAATTTTTGATCCTACAATGTTTACGACTGTTCATCCATCTTCTCCTCGCATCGCGTCACATTAACCTTTCCAACTATTTGACACTGTGGAGTGTTGTTTATGGATTTACTGACAACTAATGCAAACCGATCTTCGTTGGTCAATCCTCGATCGATCAAAGGAGCGAAAATTATGCACAATTTAGTTCAAGAATTTATGCAGGCAACCTCAGCTTCTGGATACATCAGCATCAGCAGCAGAGCAGCTACTGTTGTGTAGTGAGTGTAACGAATTGGATTCTGTTCCGGGTCTCATGAGAAGAAGCTGGAGAAGTCCGCCTCGAAGTCCAGCTCTTGGAGCATGAAATCCATGTCCACCGCAGGGGGATTGGCGGCAGAATTAGCTCCTGATACCATCTCTGTCACTTCGGATTCCGGGCTCCAGAGCTTGATTCCGTCTTCGAATACGCATCGAGAGAGCGAGAAGAAGGTCGAGTCGGACGCCGCCGGCGACTGAAAGGTGGGAGAGGTCGAGCTACTGAAACAGTTCTCGATTGTTGCGGGTGAGGCAAACATGTTCTCCCTCGCTGCCGCAGCTTCCAGTCCCGATTCGAAGGAGAAGGAAAGGGAGGAAGCCTCAACTCTGAGCCCTGTCTGATGCTCGTCTTCCTTTGGTCGCCGCTGCTTTTGCCCCTGCTTCCGAAGGCATGTGTGCATCCCATGGTAGGTCACATGGAAGAGCAGCGGGTCCTCGTCCGATCGCTGCACCTGCTTCATTGCCGGGCAACCCTGAGCGACTCGGTGCGTGCATCTGTAATAGCCTCTGCGACAGATTACAGAGCATGAGATCGCTGACACGAAAGAAAGGTGAGGCATTGAGCTCACCTTGGATGTTTGGCTCCGAGGATGTCCTTTTGGCCATACTTCCTCCAGCTGTAGCCATCATCGACAGGCCCTTCGAAGACTCCTCCGGCGGCTGAGCTCACTCTCACCTCGCTAGTCCACTTGGGCAATGTCTTCCTGCAAGGAAACACGAGTGATTTAGGAAGCCATGCCAACCGGTTTCACCGGCAAACAAAGCGATCGCTCTTCTCCATCTACCTCTTCTTCGGCGTGTGATCCTTGAAGCCTGGTTTGGACGGATCGCTCTGCGAGCTCTCGCCTGAGGAGGGGCGGGAAGAGTCTGGTCTGCTTGTCTTAGCCATGCAAATGGACTTCTCAATCGAGGCGAACAATTCCCGGAGCAGTGCCTTGCAGGACTCGTTTGCAGAATGTCGATGGAGTTCAGCTTCCATCTGTCCCACCAGCTTCCGAGCTCGAGCTAGCTCGGCCAGCAGAAGGCATTGGTCCTTCTCCATGTCGGGCTACTAAGCAGAGCTCTCTGCTTAAGTCCAGGAAAAGAAAGAGATGGTACAAATCCAGCTGAATTCACAAGGAAAAGTGGCTCACAAGCATCTCAATCTCACCAAGCTGAAACCAGAGAGATAGAGTGTGTGTGTGTGTGATGGGAGATGATGAGAACAGGGAGGGAAGGGATGGTATATAATAAGGCCAGGATTAAAGTCCAAAGAAACCACTCATCATGTCGTCGTTAGAACTCAACATGTTGTACTACACATTCACCCAAAATACCGGTCTTCGGTCTTCTAGGAGGAAGAAGAAGAAGAAGAAGAAGAAGTGGAGGAGAGATGGATCTAACGTTTGACCATATCTTCACCGTACGTACAGTATGAGAAACACGGTGATGGATGGGTTGACCATGGAAACCCTGTGCAGGAATCAGGTAATACATAGCGGCGGTAGATTAATCGGAAGGTGGGTGGAAGCGAGCGAGAACCATCGCGCGTAAACGCGTGGAAGAGAAGAGTAGTGACGTCAGCAGCTCGGATGCTGCTTACGTGTTGGCCTTCTGATGAACACAACCTGTGAACCCCACTACACGCATGCCATTAGTCCACCAACCGTAGAACGACACGTATGTCGAACCTTAAAGAGCCGCTAATCTTAAGCATCAAAATGTGACAAACTCCACGTGTCGATATTTCATCGGGACGGATTTTTGTCTCGTATCAGTCACTGTCTATTGGACTGATAGACCATTATTATCATTTAGCAATATATTTGAATTTGGATTTAATATGAGAATTTACTCCCTTTTTTTATTCTATTTAAACCGATCAAATCCGATGAAGAAGGAAGTAGTCGAACTCGAATTAAACCAATTCGGTACCAAAAGATTGATTCGCTATCAGATCAAACCCGACGGGTGAGATTCGAAGATGGAAACCAACGAAGAAACCGGTCCAACTGCCTCCTAATTTCCATTTATTGCAGCTCTGTGGGTGTCTGTGGGAAAGGAGAACAGGCGGAGGGAGATGTGGGGGCCACTTGGTCGTGTACGCTGGACCATGGTACGATGGTGGGTACAAAGATAATGCATTGTCGGAGATTGCTCAGCTCAGGTTTCCACTAACCGACACGTTGGAGAGATCAAATCGAGGGAATAAACTTTTGACTGTGGTCTTTTTACGAAGGATGGGATCGGAGGTTGAGTTCTTCGTATAACCCTTGCCACCATCTTCATCTTCAGCTCTGGTACCGACCTTTGATTCAAACAAGGTCAGGTCATCTCCTCAAAATCCCATTAGACGACGGTTGACTTAAAAATCACTTGTGTCATTGTATTTAAATGCTGGATCATTATTCACATGATGTGAACTTTACAAGTCATATTACATTAGATTTTATAATATTTTTATTATGATGATCAAAATATCATAGTAGGCCAATAACACTGTAGTAATAGATTTTTTTTAAAAGAATAATTTGAAAAAAAAATTAAATTAAGGATATTATTTTAATATATATATTTTTTAGAAAAAATATTATACAATCACTTCCCTCGTTGGACCCATGCCTACTTTTGTGAACCCCATCAAATTCTCTCCGATCGATCTTGTCCTCGTTGTTCTTGCTCATGACACATGTGATTATTAGCTCTCATCGTCCTAACTCTTCTCCCATCTATCACGTTCTTATGTCATGGATAAGGATGATGACGATGAGACGTAAATTTGACAAAGTAGAGGGGAGGAGAGTTAGGATGATAAAAGTCAATAGCCATCAAGGCCATGGGTAAGATGCATAAGGATGGGTTTAATGAGAGTCAATGAGATTTGTGAAGACATAAATAATACAAGGAGATAAGGACAACAGTACAAGATGGAGAAAGCCATGGATCGAACAAAGATAAATATAAAATAATTTTTTCATACAAGAATAAGTATTTCATAAAAGTTTATATGATTTTTTTCATGAATTCAATATATATATATTATTTTCGAGTAATCGGTAATGATACAGTTTCTTAGTAAAGAAGGAGAAGAAATCTGATCACATGGCAGCTCGACCATAGCATGTTCCAATAAACTTCCCTTGATTATGTATGATTCACGAACACGTTGACTCTGATCATTTCCTCGAAAGATTATAGGGTTTGACCAGGTCGCCTTGACGCATTAAATGCTATTGCGTTGAATATGGTTTGTAATAATTTCTACGCGGTACGAGGGAGCGGATAGCATTAATAAACCTGTTGACCATTTCAAAGCTCTTCCCTCATCAATCTGCTTGCTACTTCGAACCAACTTAACGGAGTCACCATGTTATATTTAATGCCATTTGCCTTTTTAATATACTAAAATCATCAATGTATTTGTCAATGAACCATCACGTCACGTTTATTATGGCTGCAATGCATTATTTGTCTTTCTCATCTATGTAGCTCGAACTAGAAATAAACTGATTCTAAATCGGAATCGAAACCAATAATTTCAATTTGATTTCAAAGAGACCATATAATGGTTAGTATTTGAATTCTAATAATTTAGGTTCGAATTTTGGTAAAACAATTTAATTTAATTTTTTTTCTTTTATCAAGCAGAACATATAATTCGAAATAGAATAATTTGGAACTAATCCAATTCTGGAAGAACCCACGCCCGACCCGTCCCTTAATTAACGGTGCTGACGGCATGATTGTGGTTTCGTTTTTGTAGGAGATAGTGAATGATATGTTGTCGAAGATGCGTGCAAGTGTTTGGATTGACAGGATTTGTGTGTAGATTGGAGATGGCTCATTTCCTTGCAGTTTTCTCTGTTACGAGCTTTATGCCATTCCCAATTAATGGATATGTTCTCCGAAGGCCAACTGTTGTCATATTTGTCGGCGCGATAAACTATATTATGAACTAAGCCGCCATTTATCGGCGCCACGCGGCAGTTTTCTTTGTTTTATTTATTTATTTATATTAAATCCGGAAATTATGTCGAACTCGAATCGTTGATGACGGTGTGTGTATTCTTGGGCCTTCGGCCAATAGGCCCAGCTAAGTCTCGTTCACTGTAACTCCGGCCCGTTAAAAATCGAGGCCCCTTAGGGCTCCGTCGTCCTCGTCACTCTCTCCGCCCACGACGCCTCCTTCTGACCCACGAGCAACAATGGAAGCCCCCAAAAAATATAACACGATATCAGAGAGAACATCCTTTATTAGGATATAATAAAAAGATCCAATTTATTTTATCACTATTTACTAATTTATGAAATACCAATTAGCTCCCACTATTGTTGTATATTATTCCCCTCCGAGTTCGAGGGTAGTTTTGTCCTCCTCATTGTTCGGGTTGTCCGCTCTCGCGTTCCCTCCAACCGACCGCGCTCTTCTCCTCCGCCCCCAATCTCTTCTCGGCGTCCCTCTTCGCCTCGCTTCTTTCCGCCGCCTCCTCGTCTCGCTGCCTTCCCCATCGAGCCATCTCCTCTTCTTACTCCGAAAATATTCGCGCTTCCGTCTGCTTCGATCTCGCGTGGTCTGTCGCCGCGCTGCGCCCCTCCCCGCCCCGCCCTACGATTCGTTGCCGATCGGCTCGGTTGGTAACGGATTCTTGCGGAGCGTTCCATCGATCAGCAACTTCCATCTCCTCCGCCCTTTCTTTCCGCTTCTTCCCGTGTTCCCCAGAGAAATCCACATTGCTCGTTCCCACAACATCTTTGCTGGAATGCTCATTCGGGGATCTCCTCTTCTCTGGATCCGATTCCCTAACAACCCTAGTTCCAGTGGTCGTTGCCGGTTCCTCCTCTCCCTCGGGTTCTCGTCCTCCTCGGACAGGTCAACATGTTTGTTTATATCACTTGAATCTTTGTCTCCTTGTAGCTATAATGGCTTAGCAAGTATTTCTAGAAGAATATCAAGTTAAATTACTGAGATTAGGACTGTTTACCTGCACAAGCAAGTTAAATTCATCTCTACTTTTTCTTAATTTTGTCAGAAACACTAAATAATTTTGCAAAGGTTTCTTATGGTAACCATAAGGTCACAACTCCTCCATCTCTGAGACCTGTGCCCGATGACTTTGGTCGTTGAATCTTATCTAATTCATTAGTTTTATTGCAACTCTGGAGGACTTGTTCTAGCATTAGAAGTTAACATGTGGTCATTTGTTGAGATTACATAACTCAATACTTTTTTGGTTTATATTTCTCTCTTGATAAACTGCAGTTGTTTCACTCTATCCATTCTCTGAGTAGTTTATACGGGTGAAATTCCAGAATGAGACCTAAGAAATGTTAGTTCATATGAATGAATTAGGGGGTTGAGTGTTGTTAGTTCATATGAATCTTGTCACTTGATGAATCTTGTTGCATTATCTCTTGATAAAATAGCCTCTGTGTGGAAGACTGTAGATTCATATGATGCTCATTTTGATGATGAAGAAGAAGAAGAACCAATTCCCTCATATTTAGAACTGTTCTTCGAACAACTTCTCTCTCAATGTTTTCTGGCATCATTGTTCTCTGCGTTTCTTAGAACCGATTATTATCCGTTTGATTCATGTTTACTTTGGAGTGGTCATATTTGGCTTACAGTTGAATCAGGTAATGATCTTTCTGCTTTTGTTTTCTCACGGTTCATGGCATGTAGCATTGGTTGTCATGGAACACAAGGGGACTGCTCATTGTAGTGGGATCTCTGAGTTCTTGCTGCCGCAGATGTATCCATTATTATTTCTTCATGTGGTACATTACATGATCTGCCAAAGGATTGGTGCCCAGAAACCGGTATCAATCCCTGTAATCTCACATCATGACCCACATTTAAGATTAGTTCCTGAATTTGAGACTTTTACTCTTGCTCTTGCCGAGAAATTTATCTGACTGTTACAGAAACAGAGTTATAGATTGTGAAATATTCCAAGAAATTAACATTACAATAGCATCAAAGCTAAGGAGGTTTGTCGCTTAGATTTGGTCGGCAATCTCATTTAGAGAAAGCTTCCAATTTATTCTTGACCAACTGCTTTACAAGTGCTACGAATTTGGTAGATCGAATTGAATCTGTTGTTCCTATCCATTCTGAGACTGCTTGCCATGCGGATGCCAAGTGTTTGTCAACTACATCATGCAGCATTCTCCCAGTCGAAGGAAAGGAACATAGTAGCATGCAGATTGTCTGCAAACTCAACATCGTTAATGCTGATTGTTAGCGAAAGTCCAGTGTCTATCACTTCTCTGAGATGGTTCTCAAGGGTTGAGAGATGATGTGTAAAACATTGAACTCAAATTTGGATTGTTCCTAGTAGAGATCATTGAACTCAAATTTGGATTGTTCCTAGTAGAGATCAGTGTCTGCCGTATTGAATCGTACCGCCCGATATGGACGGTACGTACCGGTCCGACAAGCCAACGGTATGCGGACCGCCCGGTACCGGTCCGCACTGTAGCAGTGCTACAGTGCTCGGTACACCTGGGTGTACCGCTCGGTATACCGTACCGGTACCGAGCCCAGGTTGAAATACCGGTACGGTACGGTATTACGAACCTTGGTAGAGATCATATTGCTACAGTGCTCGGTACACCTGGATGTACCACTCGGTACACCGTACCGTACCGGTACCGAGCCCAGATCGAAATACCGGTACGGTACGGTATTGCGAACCTTGATAGAGATCATTCAAACTTAGATTTGGACATTGAACTCAAAACCTGGCCGATATGTAAATCTGACTTTCCTTTTTTTTTCTTCTCTCCTCAGGCATATCATCACATGAAGTCAACTACATTATACGATGGGACGTTTAATTGAATCTAATACTCTTTAGCTATTAGTCAGAATCTTATATCTCAAACCTCGTTAACCAAGCCTTTATTTATTTCTATTGGCAATACCTTTATGCTATTTACAACTTAATTTTAAAAATTTTAATATCCCGAAATAATCCTTTACAAAGAGACATAAATGTACTCATCATCGTTTCCTTGTTTTTTTGACTTCTTCATCTCCTAATCACAAGCAGCTTCAAGCGTCAAGTGGTGACGAGCAGTCTTTTTCTTCTTCGTAGATCAAGGCGGCGTGGGGAAATGGCTGCCGGAGATATCTTGGTGCAAAATTGACACGGGCGGGGAGTAAGTGAGGGCGACAAGGGAAGGGGAGGAGTTGATCCAGGCGACCACGGGGATCATGCTCTTGCTCACGTCCACCTTCAACAAGCGATGTCAAGAGGGCATCCAGCGGTGTCAGAGCCTAATAGTGTCAAGTAGTGAGTTGCTACAATCTTTTAACTAATTTTACTTGCTTCATTTGTATGAACGAGAAAACAAGTTAGAAAAAGGATTTAACTCGAGATAATATTTTAATAAATACTTGATAGATAATATAAATTATAAATATATAATTCATAAGTTTTAAATGATCATGTAACAAAATATTCTAGATGGTCCATTATAGTTAAAAGTCCTCACAAGTGTCTCTATGACACAAATGCGTGATAAATTAGCCTTAAACAATATCTCAAAGGTCTATTCCATCA